AGAGAAGAAATTCAGCCGACGGTGAATTGGGGGAATAAACAAATTCTCAAACATGAAGGCCACTGGTGCTCAACGGAATTGGAAATAGATATCAGTAGGGAAACTAGATGGGAAGTCAAACCCAATTTTGTAAACCTAATTGTTTCTATGAAAAGCCAAAGAAGAGCAAATTGAATGGGAAGTCGAACCCAGAATCAAGAAACCCAGCTCATCAAATCCAACCCAATCGAAACCCAGATTCAAGAAACATAAGCTATCATTTTCTATGAACTCTGCATGCAACCACAGATACAAGAACATCAAAATCAAAACCGATATTTACCGAAACAAAAAGATTAACTGCAAAATAGAAACAGAGCATAGCAATTAGGCACAATTGATTGGGCGAAATCCACCAAAGGATTCTACACGAGTCGGGGATAACCAGAGCAATGAGTAAGGAGGCAAATCGATAAACAGATGAATCGAAACCCAGATATAAGAGCAATCGATAAACAAAGAGGAATCGAAAAACAAAGAGGAACAGAAAGCGATTCACGCCGCCTTCGACCCGCCGCCACACCTGCCGTCGTCGCCTTCTTTGCCGTTCACCGCCGCATGCTAACTCGTCTTCGGCTCTGTTCGTCGCAACATAGGGTTTCGCCTACTCAATCAGATCTGCATTCAGAGAGGAATCCGAAATTAGAAGAAGAATCGATTTTCCCCCAATCGATTTGGTTTCAGAATAGAAGAATCAAAAGATTCAAAGAAAGGAGGTAGGAGAGAGGAGAGAGGCAGAAGAAGACTCTTCGTTTAGTGCTCTGGGTGAGGGAGGAAAGAGAAAAGCGAACAGAGGGTAGAGTTGGAAGAAAAAGCGGCCAGAACGCGTTATTTGAGAATAACTGCCCACCCCCCAGTTATTCTTAATAACGCGTTTTTGCGTTATTTTAAAATACCACAGGCCCAAATACCACATTCAACATTTGTTTAGCCAAACGTGTTATTTTGGCTCAAATAACTGGTTTTGAGTTATTTGAGTCAAAATAACTCACAGAAAAAATCCATCCAAACGACCCCTAGAAGTATTCACCTAACAAAAATTTATGACAATGGTATGGGTTAATGAATTGTTGTGTTTGTGTAAATTGACTTAGTCTCTAAGCAATTATCATAGGCTGGAAATGACCTTCCTTTCGAGTTTTCATCCGTCATAATGTATGAAATTTATCTAAATTAGGCGTCCATATGTTGTGGTCTACATTTTACATATACAAATATACACTATATGAGCAATATTGAGCTTTATATTTTATGAGTCTAAAAGGGATGAACGTTAACTCTTGAGTGATTATGCAAAGTATTAAGTATGTGTATATAATATATGTTAGATATATTACTAATTACTTAACTGGTTAATTTGGTTTGACTGGTTAGGAGTGTCTGAAACCAAACCAAACCACCTAAACCAAACAAGCTAAAAACTTTAACCAAACCAAACCAATTATCCAAATTAACCAAACCAAATTATCCAAATAGTACTGGTTAAAACGATTACCATGGTAACCAAACCGTTTGAACACCCCTACTATGTACAGTTGCTCCACGTAACGTAAGTCTGCCCTAATAAGGCCATCTTTCGTATGTAGGGTTTGCTTTGCTTTAATTTGCCACGTTTTCGCTTTTTGTCAATGGAGAATCTGGAACAGTAAAACCGACCAATCGATCGACTGTTTTGCCCACTGCCCAGGGTAATCAGGCGAACCAACCGACAGTACGTAAGTAAGATTCCCATGCAAATTCAGTATTCTACCGTCGGTCGGTCCAAGAGATTGCGGATGGGTGAACTACATGCAGGCCCAAGTCTGGCGGGGTACACGATGAGTTTGAACTTTGGAGTTGATATTGGGCTTACGATTGCTTTCCAGGCCGTTTTGGAATCAGGAGTCTTGCGTTGGGCTGTAGGCCCAAAGTGGAACTGGCCCGGTAGATAGGCAGTCGTCCATTTTTTCACTAGAGGTGATACATTGGTAATTAGAGAATAACCTAATTGTCTTTACTAGTAATACTCTGTTAATACACCTATATATAATTGTACGTATTTTATTTGTTTAAAGTTTTTGTATTCATATTATTGTCAAAACGTTTCAGTTCTCTCTCATTAATTTGATGACTCCTGTATTAAACACATATAAACCCTGTATTATATTATTTATATCGAGGTTGCCATTTGCATCCCCCTTCTTTTCTCATTTTTTCCCTTGTAGATCAAATTCTGTTAGTCTATTATATATCTTTATTAACAATACTTTATACGATTGCGTAACTCCTCTACGAGATTATAACAATTAACTACTATACCATGAATCGTTAAGATGATACATGTTAGTACTTAGTAGTATGAGTTCGTATGTCACACTCTGTTTCTGTCGATTTCGATGTCTTTATGACAAAAGGAACAACAAAGTCAAACAGAATTGACTTTTGATTTAGAGAAGAGCAGCTACGGAGCAAAATTTCAAACTTTGTGATGTGAAATAGTTAAAGATTATTCATCTCCTCGGATGACTAATAAACTTGTAAATTGTAATCCACCCCGCCACAAAAAAGGGCCCGTCCGGCCGTCGCATCCGAAACCAAGATCCGAAGCAGCAGCGCCCATATTTCAACGGGTCATTTTCGTTGGCCGGTCGGGTTTGGGCCCATCAAATTATCCAAGCATGTCGTGCTCCAAAACCTAACCTCACAATGTGGCAGCCCTTCCTCCTATAAACAAACGAAAGCGCTCCAATTTAACTACGTTGACTTGTTCAAGCCTACAATACAATTGCATTACTCAAGCCTTGGATTACAAGACTTCACACCAACTCCAAAATCCATGTTCTACAGTTTGACTATATATTGCGCCGCATTTACAAACTACACAAAGGGCAAGTGATTTGTTCCAAGAGCTAGCTAGCTAGCTAGCTCAACTCCAAGCACCTCCATGAGCCCAAACATGGGCAGAGTGGGAATTTTGTTGGAGGAATGGAAGACATTAGATTAGATAGTTTAGGAATCATCTTGTTAAATATGTTTGTATTGTGTATTTTTTTTGTTATTTGAGAGAGACTATATATATGAGCTTGTAATAAGGATAATGAAATGACAATCTCTTTATTGTGAAATGATACAAGTAGACTGATTTTTCTTCCAAGACTCAACAGGATTGATCATTAATTCTGAAGTCTATCATTTGTGCCTCACCTATCCCTCCTATTTTCCTTTCTCTTATCATACCAATATGAGAAGGTTGTTTTCACTTCATATATATATATACAAATCTAATGAATAGAATCCACCATGGAATCTTTGAAACAAACACTGGTGTTTTTAAGTTCATAATGAACCGAAAACTCTCATATATCCATGATATTTCAAACCAACAAAATTAACCAAAACCCTCCTTTTTCAAATTCACGAAGCAAATTACCGTTAATTCGCCCGCTTATATTCTATTCTTTAAGAACACATAGTAGCCTATAAATAGAGATAATATTAATATGAAAGAATAGGTTAAGATGGGGCATGTGGATTGAGTTTTTAGGCCCATGACACCCATGTCATCATGTATATGCACCACTTTAAGCCACTCTTATTCCGAAATCTGGTTAAGTGTTGGAGCACTCCTCATGATGTGATCAGGGGGATCATCAACATACCCTTGGTGCAATATCGGGGGCAACCAACATAACCCCTAGTTTGATGAGTTGTGGTGAAATTTGGCTAAGTATGAGAAATGATGGCAAGGTGTGTGGCGTAGTATACCCCTAGTAGATGAAATATGCCAAGTTTTGGCTAAGTATGCCGCTCCAGTAGTGGTGAATTATTTTTGTCATTTTTAACCCCCGTGATTCAAATACACACCCACATGAGGCAAGGGGGGTCTTCATCTTTATTTGTTTTTCTAATTTCAAAACTCAAACTAAGGAGAAGCTATCAAGAAAAGGAATTCAAGACTGAAGAGTGTAGCATTCCATTGTCATGGCATTCCTGGAGCAGTTGAGAGGGTAACAGTCACTCCACACGGTGCGGTTTCTCGAGGTGGTTACTTTTGATGACTATAAATAGGAGGTGAAGATGACAGAGAAAAGGTTCGTCAAATTCACACAAGACAACCTATTGTCAAGCTTTATTTTTGTACCTCTTTTCCTCTGGAAATGTAGCCAAAAGCCATGGTTGTAGTCTCTCTTGAAGCTCCACCAAACCTCAACAGAGTAGATTTAATGCAAGTTCATTCTGTTCAACTCTAGTTTTTCTCACCGAAAAGTAAAATCAGAAATAATACTCAATAACTCATCTCGTACTACTTCTAGCACTACAGGAAAAACATCCTTTAATCACGGGATTTCCCGTGTTTGAAAGTGTGGTTCCCGTGTTTAATAGTTTTAATCACAGGAAAATTACCGTAATATATACCTCCATGTCTAATGGTAAAGGTCATGGGAAATTTGTACCGTGACTAGTTATAACTAGTCACGGTATAGTTTCCCGTGATAATTTGGGCCTATTAATCACGGGAAACCCCATGACTAATATCAAATCTTCCAACACAACACCAACAAAAAACTCGTTTAGGTACGGGATGTCCACCTTTGAACACGGTATATACCATGAAAAAATCATTTCCCATGACTAGAAGCCAATCATTAGTCACAGTATTTGGTCGATTCTCCTGTGTCGTTGTATTAACAATTGGTGTATTTTACTATGACAAATTATCAATTAGTAACCACCATATTTTCCAATGATACACTATTTCATATATTAACATACATATAAAATTATAAGATTATTATTGTCAATAACCAAAACAAATATCAATACAATTGAAAAGTCTCTTTCTTGTAGCATGAAACTCCAACCAAATTGAAACCATAAAACATTATCCAAATCCTTATGCTAATACAAGATATTCTTGACTAGCTAAAATATCAATAAACTCTCGAATGTTCAAGACGAATCAACTCTTGAATCTTCAACATCAAGTCTTCTTGATCCTGAGAAAACACAGTAAGAATTAGGACTTCTAATTAGTTCCTCTATGAATATGAGAACTTAAAACAGTTGTTCAAAAATAAAAACTTGACACTTAAACTAATTAGGTGTTGCTCGTTCATGCATATTCTCTGCAAAGCTAACCACTCAGCAAAATAAGCTGCACAAACCATCTTAATTGCATTATTTTTTGTGAGAGTAGCTAGCTTTTGAGAAAGATCAGCTAATGCTTGTAGAAATTAAACTCTGTTTTGAGAAGTCACAGTCATAAACTCTGTTTTATTACCAGCTACTTCTAATGCGTTAATCAATATGACACCAAAAATCATGTGTTGTTTCTTAATACTCCAAGAAGGTTCAGAAAGATCAGCTAATGCTTGTAGAAATTAAAATTGAGAGCTTCTGGCTACTAAATTACATGAGCTACAAACATTCAATTTGTTAAACAAATAGGGAAAGAAAGAAGAGAGCAAGTCAAAGACCTTTCACCGAGAAGAGTTAATTCTTCCCCAAAATCTCGTCCATCCATTTGCTATACGACCATTTTTGAAGAAAAAATCAACCAGTATGGCATAATATTGGAATTGAATACTTTCTAATGGGTATAAGGGACAAGAGCAATCAAGAACTACTGAAGAAAAAATCGACAAAAATCATTAAATAAACCTAACACAATGTTCCAGTTTCACTAGACCATGACAGCAGATGGGGTGAAGGAGCAACGATAAGAAGTTTCACCAGTTCATGCTGCTGCTACTCATACAGACTACATCCTTGTGTTGCTGGTTGTACTCCTTATATGAATAAAGTCATAAAGAAGTGTACTCCTTAAACCCTGTGAACTTCTGACTTGGACATGTAGATGCATCATTGGGAAGGGAACAAACATATATCAAATAATGATTACAGTGGAGAAATATACATACAAATCTGAATACCAACATGCTGCAGAATGAATCTTACTTTGACATTGATGTTAAAAGATCCATTTGCTATAAGAGTGCAGGATACCAAAAAGCAAGTTGTAAGCTGCAAACTTCATGAGGAAGCCTTTGATTCCTTAAGAGTAGAGGATCCATTACTGTGAATGAAATTGGTAGGTTAAAATAAATAGAAAAAATCCAATTTATTCACCTCCCACACTCGCCCATTTCAACATCATGGAGAATTGGAGATGCAATCATCTACTCATAAATATCAGTGGATTTCACTTGATATGAAACCCTCACAATGCCCAAAACCTTACCCATCGTCCTAACATAACCTGAACAAGGGATTAGCTCTGTCCTACCAAATTGTCTTCCCATCATAACTACTCGAACATTGCCTTTTGAAGATGCAGAGAAAGGAAACCCGCATATTTAAACAAACAAAAGGGCAGCGCAGGGGAGTCCATATGTGTTTCACACAGGGGAAACCCCACTAAAGGAAAACTTCAGCACACACATGCCTTACCCCTATAAGGCTCGGAAACAATTTGGTTTCCCAGTAGGAGTAGCTCCGGCAGCAGCAGATATCGGCGATAGCAGCTCCGCTTCCGCAGCCAACAATAGCAGCAGATTCTGACAGTAGCTGCTACTCTGCTGCAACCAACACCATTAGCTCCAACAACAGTAGATCCCAGCAGTATGAGCTCCGATTCAGTAGCCAGTACCTCCACTTCGACAATCAGCCCTTCCTTCATCCTCTTTCTGTTGCATTACTTTGTACCTCTAGTATCAGGCGATTAAAACAAAGGGGAAAATGAGTGTTTGACGAGTTCAAATAAAAAGAGAAATGGAAGAGGCTAAAGAGATACAGGAAAGAGATTCGAGTAAAAAAATACCTCAACTGTAGACCACGATAAATCTTCAGGGCATTTGAGATTGAGATGGAAGGAGAAGAGATTGGCATCGGAATGGCCGTCTGAAAAACAGTATTCGTAATTAAGATTGTCAGGGGAATGATTTTGCTTAGATGGAGGAGGGTATGGGATTGAGATAGCTATAGTAGAGTTTTTAGGCATCGAGTTAGGTTAAAGAAGGGGATGACGCCATTTCTCTAAAGAACAAACAGACGGAGACGAGAAGAAAGAGAGTTTTTTTTTTTTTGGAACCAAGAGAGGGTTTGGAAAGAAAGGTAAAGGTTTGCTTCTCTTTTAGTTTTCCTTGGTAAAAGAAACGGTAGGAGAGTCAAAATTTTAGGATGAGCGCCAAAAATGAGGAAAAAATCCCACTGTACACACGTTCTTAAAAAAAATTTCCAAAATACATAAGTTATAAAAAAATTTCCCAAAGTACACATGTTTGGCATTCACCGTTTTTGACAAACGCAGTGAAGGTAATCACCGCGTTTGACAAAGACGGTGAATATTTCACCGTTTAAAACTAAAACGGTGAAGTATTCACCGTTTTAGTGCAAAACGGTGAACACATTCACCGTGGTTGCCTAAAGCGGTGATTGTTTCCCACGTTTCCCACCCCTGGTAGGTCAAAATTAGGTCACACCTACCTAGTATTCACCGTTTGAGACAAACGCGGTGATGGTGTTCACCGTGTTTGACAAAAACGGTGAATAGTAGCAAATTTTCCTATAAATACCAACCCACCAGCAGAAGCAAAAACTTACCACTCCCCCCTTCTTCAAATTTCAGCAAATAAATCGAGCATAATACACAGAACAGACATTTTTTGGTATGTCTCTTTTCGTATTATAGTCTAATTATGTTTTTAGTAGTTATAGTATGATTAAATTTTCGTATTATGGTGTTGTTAGTTAGTTGAATTTATGTTCGTTAGTTATAGTATGATTTAATTTTCGTATTATGTTGTTGTTAGTTAGTTGAATTTATGTTCGTTAGTTATGAGATGGATAATATTAGTTGTACAATATGATTTTGGTTAATTTTACTGTCTTTAAGCTAATAGATACTTATCCTCGATTTGTAGATATGGGTAAATTCAAGAAGTTTCATCTTACTATTCGGTGGAATGGAAGGGTGACAAACTCTGACATAGGCATTGATTATGAGGACGGCGAATCCATTATGCTGAACATTGGTTCCCGATTCAATTTTCAAGAACTCTGTGATCTTTGTGCAGAAAGGGTTTGTACGAGTGGACAGACGAGACTTGGCAAAATTACTTACCGGTATCCAGACATGAGTGCTGGCGGGCTCGTGTTCCAAGAAGTTGTCATAAACGATGATGACGCGGTTACGATGATGTTACAGTTCCTAAGCGATAACCAAGTCCGGCTTGCAGAGGTGTATGTTGAGACCGAGGCGGTCGGTGAATCTCATTCTCACCAGTATTCTTATGATGATGGTTTTGCAGGAGGGTACGAATGGGGTGGTAGTTCGAGCAACTACCAAGGCGGTGGTTATACAGGAGGTTACGGGGAGGGTGGTGGTTCAATCAACTACGGTGGATCGAGTAGTGCAGGATGGGACAAATACTCGCAACCTCCTCAACCAGCCGATGGTGTTGAATGGCCTGCTTGGGGGCCAGAGTGGTCTGAAATCGAGAATAACATTCGATCAGGGCGTACTTCGCATGAGCGAGAGGACGATGTTGGTGATCGTGGTCATGTTGATCCTTCTAGCCCGAGCTATCCATTCAAGTCGAGCGACGAGGATACTGAGGAAGATTTGAGATCAGTGAGCGAGGAGGAGGAAGATACTGATGATAACGAGGATGAGGCGGCATTTCGTGAGGCACCCACGCCATATTACACACAGGTTCCAACTCAATTTTTACATAGTCAGAATGATCCCCCTGATTATGTCCCTATGCCAGTGTACAATCCGACGGCCAATTTGGAGGTGGGTATGGCGTTCCCATCGAAAGACGCTGTGCAGGATGCGTTTACAGAAGAGGCGTTGAGGCGCAATTTCGAGTGGAAGGTAAAATATTCTGACAGTAAACAACTACATGTCATATGCAAGCATGATGCAGAGGGTTGTACGTGGCAACTGCGGGCTGCAAATATGAAGAGAAAGGGTGCTTGGGTGATTCGCAAAGCTGAGACGATCCACACATGCTCCTCTTCTATACTTTCCCAAGATCACAGGCAACTAAAAGCAAAGAAAGTTGGGAGAACTATTAAGCACCTTATAGAAGCACAACCAGATATCAAGGTGAAAGCTATCATGGCAGAGGTGAAGGATCGACATTCTTACACGATACGGTACAAAAAAGCATGGCATGGTAAGCAGAAAGCCATGGCTGAGGTGTATGGTGATTGGGAGGATTCTTATGCTTTACTCCCTAGACTTATGGGAGCAATGGAGGAGTCCAATCCTGGGACTGTTTTCGTCCCAGTATACAACAATGTATACACTGAGGATCAAGTTCGAGTACAGGATAAGCTGATGTTCCATCGTCTTTTTTGGGCTTTTAAACCATGCATTGACGGTGAGTTGAAAGTGAAAGGGGAAGGGGGTATTTATAGTTGGGGGAAGGGGGGAGGCGCCTGCGCAGCATTCAATTGGAGCGCCTTCACCGCGTTTGACTAACGCGGTGAACTCACCGCTGTCAACAAACGCGGTGTATGTCGAGGGGACGTGGCGTGTTGTGAGGCGTCGGATCGTGGGAAGAAAACCACGATCCGCGTCTCACCGCATCCAACGGCCACGGTGAAAGCAAATTGGCCCGGATCGCTGACGTAAACAAACACGGGGTATTCACCGTGTTTGTCTAACGCGGTGAATACCCCGCGTTTGTCCACGTCAGCTCCTTCACCGCGTTTAATAAAAACGGTGAAGTCTTCACCGTTTCAGTTTAAAACGGTGAAGCCTTCACCGTTTTAATTAAACGCGGTGAAGCCTTCACCGGTTTTGTTAAACGCGGTGAAGGCATCACCGTTTTTATTTAAAACGGTGAAATGTTCACCGTTTTTATCAAACGCGGTGATTACCTTCACTGCGTTTGTCAAAAACGGTGAATGCCAAACATGTGTACTTTGGGAAATTTTTTTATAACGTATGTATTTTGGGAATTTTTTTTAAGAACGTGTGTAGTTTGGGATTTTTTCCAACAAACACGGGGTATTCACCGTGTTTGTCTAACGCGGTGAATACCCCGCGTTTGTCCACGTCAGCTCCTTCACCGCGTTTAATAAAAACGGTGAAGTCTTCACCGTTTCAGTTTAAAACGGTGAAGCCTTCACCGTTTTAATTAAACGCGGTGAAGCCTTCACCGGTTTTGTTAAACGCGGTGAAGGCATCACCGTTTTTATTTAAAACGGTGAAATGTTCACCGTTTTTATCAAACGCGGTGATTACCTTCACTGCGTTTGTCAAAAACGGTGAATGCCAAACATGTGTACTTTGGGAAATTTTTTTATAACGTATGTATTTTGGGAATTTTTTTTAAGAACGTGTGTAGGCGGGAATAAATTGTGGGAGAGCCAAGTTGTTTTGGAGGGAGTTTTTCATTTGCCAAATTAAAGAGGGAGTTTTTAGGATTGCAAAATTAAAAGAGTCAATTTAACGATAATGCAATTTTGGAATTCTGTATAAGTCCAAACTTAGGGAGCTGTGTAATAATCAGAAAGGGAGAAAACTCTTTGATTAAAATTTCATTTTTTAATAATAAAAGAGCTGAAATATATATTATTTATTCAAAATTCCCTTTTCTAAACATATCCTTGTTAGTTTTTCACATAAAATTTGAAGATATATATTGTAAAATTGTTCACGGTTAATTACCGTGACTAACAATTAATCACGGTAATGAAGACAAAAAAATAGATGAATTTATTCCCGTGATCAAAACTATACAACCATATACGGTAATTTTTACCGTGACTGCTAGTATACTTCTTAATACGGGAAAAACTCCCGTGAATAAGATCCCGTGACAAAAAACAGTTTTCCTGTAGTGTAGAATGTGAATTAATGGCGACTCCGATTTAAAACGTACCGATCAGATTGAAATCGCCATAAATATGTACAACAACTTTTCATTTTGATGCATGTGAAAATCAGAAAGAAATTTTAACAACTGGAATCATAGTAGGTGTCCAAATATATATAGCCTTCACTTTCGGTTTGGTTATATAAGCCGCGCGCAATCCCAACACCCACAATCCAACAGCCACGTGCCATAGAACAGCTGACTGCGGCTCTGCAGCTCCTCTCCTTTTTTCCTGATGTCAAACTTTGTAGCTCACCCACCAAAGTCCACGTGTTACCCTCATCATTAGCTCTTTCCCCTAAACACGTAAGACTTTCTATTCTCCTCCAACATCTCATAAATACTGCTCTATGTTCTCCATTTCTATAAATTTTTTTCCGGGTTAAGCTGCACTCTGTTTTGCAGTACAAACTCAATTGTGTTTGACAGCTTGCATGGCTGCAGCTTCTCTCTGCGTTCTCTTGTTCTTGCTACTGGTTTCAGCTGGCGGTTCATTTGCCGGTCGAATCGGGCCCGGTTCGAGGCTGCTGGCCAGCCAGGACCAAGCTTGGATCTCTGACAATGGCACATTCGCATTTGGGTTCACTGAAGTGGCAGACGACTCTCCCGACCAGTTTCAGCTGGCTATTTGGTTCAATGATCTTCCTGGTGACCGTATCACGGTTTGGTCACCTAATAGGTAAGTAACAAGCTTTCATCTTACGTAACTCTGGTTTAATTTCAGTGTTATGCAGATTGGGGTGTCTGAAATTAATACACTAGAGATCAAACATTTAACATGATTATTGATGTCAATCCACCACTACATTAACAAGGTCGGTTCACTTCAGTGTTTTTTTTTGGCTAGGATTGTAAAATCGTATCGGAAAGTTAACGATAGATGATTTTATACTGAAGTCGTGATTTAATCATTTCGTATACTGTTAAAAACTGCCTATTGATTTAGACTCCGACATATGAGGTTTTCTCGATCGGACTACCGGTATGATCAGATTTTACAAATACTTGTTTTTAGTGCTCCAAAACAAAAACAAAAAACTTCTTAATACGATAACATCTGCACAATTAAGAACGTGTTTACCGTACACTCTGGCATATATGTACAACTAAGAATCTTTGGTTTTCTTCTGAAAGTGGAAAAAAACTCTCCCGTCAAAATGTAATTTGTCGTTTTCCTCATCAGGAACTCGCCGGTGACCAAGAATGCAGTCCTGGATTTCACCCCCGCCGGCAACCTCCTCCTCACCGACGGCCGAACTACTGTCTGGTCATCAAACACCACCGGCGCCGGAATCCAATACGCCAGCATGGACGAATCCGGCAATTTCATCCTCTACGCTTCCACAAACCGCCCCCAGTGGCAGAGCTTCTCACACCCTTCCGACACTCTGCTTCCAAACCAGCCATTAACCGTCGAACTCGAGCTAACTTCCCCGAAATCCCCCATCAACGGCGGCTACTACTCCCTCAAAATGCTCCAACAACCCACATCGTTAAGCCTCGCCCTCACCTACAACTTGCCGTCAGAAGAATCATCGAATTACCAATCCCCTGAATCCGCCGGCGCCAATTACTCCTACTGGAACGGCCCCGACATCTCCAACGTCACCGGCCAGGTCCTCGCCGTCCTCGACGCCGCGGGGAGCTTCGGGATCGTCTACGGCGAGTCCTCCGCCGGGGCGGTCTACGTCCACAAGAACGACAACGATTACAACGGGCTCTCGTCGGCGGCGGCGGCGAATCAATCGACGGCCACCAGAGCGGCCGTGATCCGGCGGCTGATTTTGGAAACCAACGGCAATTTGAGGCTTTACCGATGGGATAACGACGTCAATGGTTCCCGACAGTGGGTCCCGGAGTGGGCCGCCGTTTCGAACCCCTGCGACATCGCCGGGATCTGCGGCAACGGGATCTGCAACCTCGATCGGAGCAAGACCAACGCCACGTGTACTTGCCTGCCGGGTGCCGGACACGGGAAGGAAACGAGCATGCCGATTTCGGGATCGAAATCGAACCCTAATTTCCTGTGCGGGGCAGAGAATTCGACCTCCGCCGCCGCGGCCGCGGGGAATTGCGATCGGCGGAGCGGCGGTGGGAATTCGAGTAGCGGATTGAAGATTGCGGCCGTGCAACAGACGAGCTACTACTTCTCCGAATTCTCGGTGGTGGCGAACTACAGCGACGTGGCGGCGGTTGCCGACTGCGGCGACGCGTGCCTCTCCGACTGCGACTGCGTGGCGTCGGTGTACGGTCTCGACGACGAGAAGCCGTACTGTTGGGTCCTGCGGAGCTTGGATTTCGGCGGGTACGAGGATCCCGGGTCGACCCTGTTCGTCAAGGTTCGGGCGAACGGGTCGGGCGGCGACGACGGCGACGGGATGTCGGCGAGTACCGCCGGGAAGGTGGTGGTGCTGCCGATTCTTCTCAGCATGACTTTCCTGATCGCGTTGCTGTGCTTGTTGTTGTACTATAACGTTCACCGGAAAAGGGCGTTGAAGAGGGCCGCCATGGACAATGCTCTGAAGATCTCTTCCGGAGCTCCGGTGAGTTTCGGGTACCGCGATTTGCAGATTCGGACCTGGAATTTCTCCCAATTGCTCGGGACAGGTAAAGTTTGTTGAACCTTCAAAATGCAACCTTTTTTTCTTCATTTTAAGTGTTACAAAACGCATAGAACGAATCCAACGACGTCAACACGTGTTGGATGTTATCGTATTAGTACCGCGCGTAGCGCGCGAATTTGTGTTGAAAACAATTTGCTGATTTTGAACAGGGGGATTTGGGAGTGTGTACAAGGGAAGTCTAGGAGATGGAACTCTGGTAGCAGTGAAGAAATTGGACAAGGTTTTGCCACATGGTGAGAAGGAATTCATTACCGAAGTGAACACAATTGGGTCGATGCACCATATGAACTTGGTTCGTCTCTGTGGATATTGCTCCGAAGGAACTCGCCGGTAAAATTCCACAAACCCTTTTCCCCCAAAAAACCCCCCTTTCCGATTCACCATTTTTTTCTGATTTCTTGCTGATCAAGTAATCCCAAATGTGGTATTTTTCCGACAGGCTGTTGGTTTACGAGTTCATGAAGAACGGGTCCTTAGACAAGTGGATCTTTCAATCCTACGAAACCCGTCCGAAGGACAGGGTTCTGGACTGGCCGACCCGATTCAGCATCGCCATCGCGACGGCGCAGGGGATTGCGTACTTTCACGAGCAGTGTCGAAATCGGATTATACACTGTGACATCAAGCCGGAGAACATTCTGTTGGACGAGAATTTCTGCCCCAAAGTGTCGGATTTCGGGCTCGCCAAGCTCATGGGGAGGGAGCATTCTCACGTCGTCACCATGGTTAGAGGGACCAGAGGCTACTTGGCGCCCGAATGGGTCAGCAACCGGCCGATCACGGTGAAGGCCGACGTCTACAGTTACGGGATGCTTCTGCTGGAGATCATCGGCGGAAGGAGGAATCTTGATATGTCGTTGGATGCAGAGGACTTCTTTTACCCTAGTTGGGCATTCAAGGTAAAATGCTGAAAATGAAGAATGCTAACATTATAAGTGATTTTTTAGAATTTGATGATGCGGAAGAATGAAAGAACACATAACACAAGATTTTACGTGGTATCCTCGATCAATTGATTGATCGAGACTAATCCACGGTGAGCTCATAAGAGCTCACGGCTGATCTCTTACTAGGATTACATCTTGACGGCTTGCTATCACACAAGTGGATAGCTAAGCTTATATAGATAAACTTAGGGTTAAAACCCTAATCCTATGAATCAGACGAGACCCAACAAGGCCAATACTAACACGGTTTAAGTAACCACAACAATTTTTTTTTCTCATTATAATTGATCCAATGTTAATGTTTTGGTGTTTGCCAACTTTAGGAGCTAATGAACGGGACGCCGTTGAAAGCAGCGGACAGAAGGCTGGAGGGGTCGGTGAAGGAAGACGAGCTGACGAGAGCGTTGAAGGTCGCGTTCTGGTGCATTCAGGATGAGGTCTTCACGCGACCTTCGATGGGGGAAGCCGTGAAGTTGCTTGAAGGATCGGCGGAGATCAAGACGCCTCCAATGCCGCAGACCGTGCTGGAACTGGTCGAGGAAGGGCTGGAACAAGTTTACAGGGCCATGAAAAGGGAACTGGACAATGACGATCATTTGTGCTCGTCTTTTACCGATGTTACGACTCAGGTTTCTACGTCGCGTGCCACTTGCAGTTACTCGACCATGTCTCCTAGATGAAATGATAAATATTAGATTAGAGATATAGGAGGGCTTTTTTTTTTTGTCATCTTCTTCGTGATCAAATGTGAATTTTGGATGAATTGTTTTAAGTTGATGTCAAATGTTGTATTTGAGGATGGAACATGCAGAATGCTTCAACCCAACCCATCATGAGTTGCAGGCTTGCAGCCCTATTCACATTTAGAATCGTTGGTTGTCGAATTTGGTTCATAACCAAGTTGAATTGCGGGAATGAACCAACCAAATATAAAGGAAAATCGAGCAGTAGATTATGGACCTTGATTGAGAGTGCGGATCTGGTGACTAAGGGGGTGCTTAGTCACTTGATTAAGCCCCTCCTAACCATTAGATCTGGACACTTCAATTCAATGGTTAAAAAGTGAGAAGGGCTATTTAATTAATGGCAGGGGTAGTTTGGGTATTATGAAAAATTACGAAGTATACAAACCGGATTTACAATCAGTACAAACCTTACAAACATACGAACAATACAAACTAGAGCGACAAAACATACAAACAGATTTACAAACATTACAAACGTATGAACTGTACAAACAATACAAACTAGACCGACAAACAATACAAACCATACAAAAAGAAAAAACAACCGGGTTGACTTTGGAGGCTCCATCCCTATATAGAGGGGCTCCTTCCCAAAGTCAACCCGGGTGTTTTTTAGACATACAAACAGTACGAACATGGTGGACAAAAATGACAAACTAGACCGACAATCCATACGAACTGGAAAAAACACCCGGGTTGACTTTGGAGGCTCCATCCCTATATAGAGGAGGTTCATCCAAAAGTCAACCAGGTTGTTTTTTAGACATAAAAAACATTACAAACATGGTGCACAAAAATAACAAAGTTTACAAACATGGTGCACAAAAAAAAAACGACAAACATTACAAAAAAAAAACGACAAACATTACAAAATAACAAAACATACAAACATTACAAAATATGTCAACAAAGATCACAAAATTAGCACTGTCGCGGGGAAATTCTTCTCCGGCGACGATGTTCGCCGGAAAAAAATTGCGACAAGAAAATCTCTCTCTCTCTCTCTCTCTCTCTCTCTCTCTCTCTCTCTCTCTCTCTCTCTCTCTCTCTCTCTCTCTCTCTCTCTCTCTCTCTCTCTCTCTCTCTCTCTCTCTCTCTCTCCGGAACTCCATGGCAGGGGAAAGGGGAATATATTTCCTGGGAAAAAAAAATGGCGGAAGGGAATATATTTCCCAGGAACCGACGGTTCTCTCCGGGACAAAAAAAAAAGTGGACAGAATATATGGTGGCCGCCGGAAATCCTGGACGGCGGGAGTACGCCGGGAAATTTTGAGCGGCAGCGGGGAGGGCAGACGTGCCGCCTCTTTTTAATTTTTAATTATTAAAATATAAAATAATCATGAACCATGCAATTACTTCATTACCATTCATTAAATTGAATTAATTAGAGCCATTAGATTTTAATGAGTTTGAAGGGTTGAGATCGACTTAGGCAAGTGACTAAGGGACCTCCCCTTAATCACCTGATCTTAGCCCCTTGATTTTTCCTTAATTCTAAGATAATTCCTAAGATCTAAACCAAAATACATAATATTCAAATTTGATTCGATATATAATTCGAATATTAATTTTGGTCCGACCGAACGGTCGGCTAGGGTGGGTCCTAACTCCTAATCGGATTAGGATTCAATGATTCCTTTAACCCGGCAAAAAAGCGGGAGAAAGAGTCGGAAACAAATGAGGAAATTAGGGATTTCTATCTCTTCTCTCTGGAGTCTGGCTTCTCCGTTGTACTCCCAAATTCCTCAACTACGTCGTGACCTTCCTTTCAATCCATCCGTTTGTCTACCGCCATGGCGCTCCTCCGCGGAAAACGATTTCGAAGCTGTTCAGAAGAGAACCCTTCCATGGTCAGCACGCTCGGAGACGATCTCCTCGGGGAGATTCTGATTCGCCTTCCGGACACTAAATCCGCCTTCCGGTGCAAACCCGTCTGCAAGCGTTGGAGGTCCCTGATCTCCAGCCCCAGCTTCAGCCGCCGTTTCGTTTCTCACCACCAGAGCACGGGCGAGGCTCGAACTTCTGCTTCTTCATACGGACGACGCCAGCGACCCGCAATCGGTAATCATGAGCTTCTTCCCGTCCATGCCCGATAGGGTTCGAGAGTGTTTCAAAGTCTTGGATTGCTTCAAGGACCTGGTTTTATGTGGGTATATGGATCTAGATAAGAATTGTAGCGAGCTTGGCAGGACGTACGTTCTCTGCAATCCGTTTACCAAGCAATGGATGGCCCTTCCGTTGGCGCCTGAAAAGGCAGTGGGTTATGAAGCACCAGTTACAAGGTTAGTTTGTGAACCCCGTAGTAGCAATAGTAGCAGTAATTCTTATTCTAGGAATCCTGATCTCCGAGATGCGCAAGTTTTGGCTTTTACTTCTGAGTATCGGTTACGGGTGGTATGTATATATCAACACCAGGCGTGTATTAAACTAGACGTGTTTTGTTCCGAGTCTGGAGATGGACCAAGGAGGCTCTTGTTTTTCCTGGTCATCGCAAACTCCGTCACAAAAATGTACGTTCGTGCAATGGGGAGTTGTTTTGGTTGTATGGTACAGCCCAAGGGAAAGAGGAAACCCTAGATGAATTACGAGATACTGAGTTGAGTCCGATGGTTGCTGTGTTGAATCCCTTCCACCTTGATGTACCTGCCACTTGTATTGATGTATCTGAATTCGCTAAACACGCTCAGTGGGATATTTCGATCTCAAAAGGTCTTTTGTACATGATCACATTAGATAAGGTAAATAGACCTGCTTATTTAAGGATTTGGAGACGGGAAAAGGACCGACTATCTTGGACGAATCAATGTTTAAGGTTGTTGGAGAACCCACAATGGCGGTGGTGTAAATATGAACTTGAGGATTGCCAAATCCTTGATCAGCATCCAGGAGACCCGGAAAATGTCTTCTTCCGGTATTTCCCTGTTTCTGGCGGTGATGAGATATTGTCCTTCCACATGTTTAGGGGAGCAAAGCTGGAGTTCTTTGCTGATCTAAGGCAACTTGTACCTCGTTGGACGCTGTTCCAGCCTCGGGTTCCTGACTGGCCTACTCCAATCCCAAGGTACGAGGAGCTGCGAGGAATGTATGATGGAAGCTGCCACTGGTTTAGAGCAGAAAACAGAAACTCCCTCAATACTGATTCGGAGCAGCAAGCAGTTAATGGTAATATTTACCTTGAGCCTTTCTCTTCAAAGAAATCTTCTTTGTTCGCTCCAGGGGTATATCTTGGCACCATGTTTTCATATGGGGTATTGTATTATATATATGGAATCAGAATGAATCATGCGGAGTTCTTTAAGTTGCTGCTATCTTATTTTTGTGTCTTTCAAAACTATTTTATCTTTACTTTGGTCACATTGTCTTTTCCAGCTCTTGCTGCTGTTGACATTCTTCGTGCTGCAAGGCAAACTCTGAAGAATGATTTGGTGGATAAAATGTTGTTGCTGCCTGGGTCGAGGAGAGCAACTATGTGAATATAAGCTGAAGAATGGTTTAGTGGATGATAAAGTGGTGTCTCTCTAAGGTTGTGGAGAGAAATTACGAGCATATTTTGAAGGGTTACGGACGCTCAATAACGAGCTGAGCGAGTTGGATTCTATCTAAATGCGGTTGATTACAGGCATGAAAAAGAAGGTCTGAAAGTTGTTATGGACTATAGTACTCTTAATTAGTCGAGGAAGGGCTGGAACATGTTTATACTTTATAGAGCGGTGAACATGCTGTAGTGTCCATGGTGAAATTCCAAACTCGTCTGCTGACAGCAACTATTTCTGGGCCGCTGCGGCATTTGCTTCCTTCCTACCTTCAAACCTTCTGTTTGTCTCTACAGACATGACGACCTGTATAAACAACATCTTCCAATCCGATCAGAAGCAGATCCTCCTCTTTCATTGATGAACAAACTAGGAGACGATCTCCTCATAAGAATTCTGATTCGCCTCTTGAACCTGATAAATGCCTGCCGTTGCAGACCTGTCTTCAGTCAGCCTTTCGTTTCTCATCCACCAGAGCAGTAACAAACTATGAAGTCTGCTTTTGCACACGGATGAAACCAGCAACCTGCAATAGGTCATCATGAGCTTTATCCCCTCCATGCCTGCTAGACTTAGAGACTGTTTCAAAGTCTTGGATTGCTTCAAGGAATTGTTTTTATGTGGATTCATGGATCCAAGATTAAGGATCCAAATAAAATTTATAACAAGCTTGGCAGGACGTACATGGTCCTGCAATCCGTTTATAAAGCAGTGGATGGCCTTTCCTGTGGGGCCTGAGAAGCCAGTGGGTTATGAAGCACCTGGCTTACAAGGTTAGTTTGTGAACCCCTTAGTAGTAATAGTAGCAGTAACAATATTATAGAAATCTTGATCTCGGAGATGGCCAGGTTTTTCCTTTTCTTCTTCCGATTATCGATTTCAGTTGGTACGTATATATTGACGTAATGTGTGTATTAAACTAGACGCGTTTCATCCGAGTCTGGAAAATGGACCAAGGAGGCTCTTGTTTTTTCCTGATTATCGCAAACTCTGTCAGAAAAATGTATGTCCTGCAATGGGAAGTTGTTTTGGTTGTATGTTGACATCCAAGATGAAACTGAAGATGTTGAGAGGAATCCGCATCCAATGCTTGGTGTTGAATCCCTTCCGCCTTGATATACCTGCCACTTTTATTGATGTTTCTGTATCCTCTGGGAATTGGCATTGGAATATTTCGGTGTCACAAGGTGCTTTGCGCATAATTGGATTAGAAGAGAAAACTATACATGCTCGTTTAAGGGTTCAGAGACTGGAAAAGGACCGTCAATCTTCGAGGAATCCAAGGTAAATGGTTGTTGGAGAAGGCATCAAGTGTAGCTATGAACTTGACCACTGTAAAATCTTTGATATGCATCCGAAGAAGCCGGAAATTATCCTCTTCCGGTATATCCCTCCTTCCTGGCATTGATGCTATAATGTGCTGCAACATGGCGAGTGGAGATATATAGTTCTTTGCTGATCTAAGACAACTTGTACCTCTGATGGACTCTGTTCCAGCCTATGTTGTGCTACAACAATTTCCAAGGTACGAGGAATTGGAGGTGTGTATTATGGAAGCAGCTGCAGCTGGTTCAGAGCAGCAAACAACTCCCCTCAATGCTGAGTCAGAGCAGCAAGCAATAACTGGTATGTTTACTGCGAGTCTATTTTTTTTTTTGTTGCTGTGTTTTATTTGGGAAAATCCGGTGGGGCTCTCACTTTTCGCAACTCGTTTAAGAACTGGGATTTCAGACCTATCGGTTCTAATTTCTCTTACCATTGAACCCATTGTTTGAAACCATCCTTTGAGCAAAGATTTGGGTATAGCTTCTGTCAACAATGTTTTTGGGTTGGCTTCAACTGAAAATTATTATTGCCATAACACCTCTTGCTGTTAGTCTCAACTCTTGGGATCGAGTTTGACAATTCTGTGAGACCGTTATTCACAAACCCTTTTCCTCTTTTCTTCACGGAAATGCATCATGGGATCCTTTGTAGTGACCTTCATTATTCCTCCAGGGATATATCTTGGCACCATGTTTTCATATGAGGTCTTTTATATACATGAAACTGGAAGGAATTATACCAAATTCTCTCTGCTGCTAAGTATACATGTACTGATAAAAGTTATCTTTGGTTTTGTTTTTTCTGAGACTAGTCTATCTTAATCTACCTGGTCACATCTTTTTCAAGCTCGCTTGTTGCTGTTCACGTTCTTCTTCGTGTCGTGCTGCAACGCAAACTCTGACGAATGATTTGGTGGACAAAATGGTGTCGCTCCCGGGGCTCAAAAGGAAGGGAAGTGAGTATCTTGATTGGTTAGGGCTGAGGAAGGGCTGCATCATGTTTACAGGAAGTTGAAAAGGGATTTCAATAACCAGTCAGAGTTCACGTTTCACTGCTGGCACAACTTTGCTTACGGCATGTCAACCCAGATGAAATGAGGAAATTATATAAGAGAAATAGGACGACTTGTTCGTCGTCGTTTGTTTGAATTGATTCCAAGGATGATATCATTTGTCAATTCTACAGTAATGAACTACCAAGTGTGTATGCAGGTGTTGCCATTGTAGTGTTAAAAATCAATTGATCCAAGATAGAGTTTGTATTTTATCAGTTTGATGTTAGACTAAAATTTGACTTGAAACGTTTGGTAGATTAACAAATAGATATAGCACGAGACAAGAATAGTCGCAAGTATAGAAACAACGAATCGCGAACAAAAGGTTGAATTTCAGCATCTGTCGTTGAAGGCGCAAGCTTGCCCCCACTGCAAGCAAGAGCTTGGGTTTGGGTTTTGCTTGCCCTAATTCAATTTGAGACGTGCCGAATGTAAGAACTAAGCAACCAGAAGAGTCCAACTCTAGGAAAATAAAGGACCTAATCCATCTCTCTTCTATTCTTCTTTTTGCCCTGTTCTTTCCTTCCAATTTCCTTGTACAAAAGATAATATAAAAAATGAAATTCCTTCTAATTTTTCTTTCAGTGAAAAAAGATTGGAGCCAAAAACAAAACGAGTAAGCCACTGTACTCGTTTTCGACGACGACGAGTCGACGACCACCATCTTCATCATCATTTTCCTCCGTCTTACTCAGCGAAACATCCCACCCACCGGCCAATCAAATCCCTCCCAGCTCTTTCCTCTCTCTTTCTCCATGTTTCATTGATTGGTATAATATATTTACTTCCGCTCTCTTTTTTCAGTTTTCCCCCTTCTTCTTCTTCTTCTCCTCGACTTCATCAGCTGCGTGTGTCACTAAACGTACACGGCAGGTTAAGGTAAGTGTTTCTCTGTTCTGCCTCTCTTGCCTTTCCCTTTCCAATTGAAGGAATTTTGGGTCGATCATAGATTGTCTCTTCTTTTCTGGGTAGTCTTTTGATTTTGCATGAATGATCAATCAGCTTGCCTTTTCTGTTCGTGGTTGCCGATTGAAGTCATCACTCTGAATTTGTAGCTGCTCTGGTTTTCTCTTTCTTCTCCCCTTTGTTGAAAAGCCTCTCTTTCAATAGAAAGCTGCGGATTCTGGATATTCAGTTCGATCATCTTTTTGATGACTAACTAGCTGCTGAAAGAGCCATGTCTGACTAGGATAGGAATACAGGTTCAGGGTGATTTGGGGAATCCATGTGGCCAAATGGAATCACTTTTTTTTACGGATTCCATATGCTTGTGGGCTGTAGCCTTTCGATTTGCACCCAAAAGAAATAAGCATAGTTGTTGAAGCATCTTGTACTTTTTTGCCTGATCCACCTTTTCCTAGACTTATTTCCGTTCTAGAAATGTTTCCTACTTGGTTGGCCTTGTGAAAGAACTGATCAGGAGTGTTAATCATTGATGTTTGATATGGTCTTGTCACAGAATTGACTGCTTCTTGCAATTGAAGGGTAGGGTTTTCCTGAGCTCAGCCAGTTACTTAGCATGAGTAATCTAAGGCTTGGAGTGGAAGTTGTTGGTGCTCATGACCTTGCATCGAAAGACAAAGAAGGTGGTACATCCCTCTCTTTCGTGGAGCTCCATTTCGATCATCAGAAGTTCCGAACTACCATCAAGGACAGAGATGCTAATCCGGTTTGGAACGAGAGCTTCTACTTCAACATCTCTGAACCAAACAACCTCCAAAACCTCAACCTTGAAGCCTTTGTCTACAGCAACCACAGCAGGGAAAACAACAACTCCAAGACGTGCCTCGGGAAGGTTCGCCTTACTGGAACATCGTTCGTCCCTCATTCCGATGCTGTTGTCTTGCACTACCCGCTGGAGAAGCATCGGGTTTTTTCTCGTGTCAAAGGGGAGCTTGGCTTGAAAGTCTTTGTCACGGATGACCCTTCAATCCGAACATCCAACCCACTTCCTGCAATGGAGTCTGATTCAAGGAAGACAAGTACTGAAGCTCATGGATTGAAAACTAGCCAGCCCTCAAACATGGTCCAGAAATTGTTCTCGAGGGACAAAGGTGACACAAGGCACACATTCCATCACCTCCCAAAGGAAACTAAGCCAAAACAACAACGGGAAATGAATTCTGGGCCTCCTGAACCACAGGTGAATTACGGGGCTCACGAGATGAAGTCTGGACCATCGGCCCCAAGAACTGTTCGTATGTTTCCTGGAGCAGCACCACAACCACCTGATTATTCACTCAAGGAGACAAGTCCTTATCTTGGAGGTGGAAGAGTCGTAAAAGGGAGGGTCATACGTGCAGATAGACCATCCGGAACTTATAACCTTGTCGAAGAAATGAGGTACCTTTATGTGAGAGTTGTGAAAGCTCTTGACCTTCCTCAGAAGGATATCACAGGTGGACTTGACCCATATGTTGAGGTGAGAGTTGGGAACTATAAAGGCAGGACAACGTATTTTGAGAAGAGGCAAAACCCAGAGTGGAATGAGGTGTTTGCATTCGCAAGGGACAGGTTGCAGTCATCTGTTCTTGAAGTTGTGGTCAAAGATAAAGACACATTACTTGATGACTTCGTCGGGCTCGTGAGGTTTGACATGAACGAGATCCCCACTAGGGTACCACCTGATAGCCCGTTGGCTCCAGAGTGGTATCGGCTTGAAGACAGGAAAGGGGACAGGAGGAAAGTTGGGGAGCTTATGCTTGCTGTTTGGTATGGTACACAAGCTGATGAGGCCTTCCCCGATGCTTGGCATTCTGATGCAATCGCTCCTAAAGACGGCAATTCATCCACTGCCTCTTCACAGCTCCGGTCAAAGGTGTATCACTCTCCGAGATTGTGGTATGTTCGAGTCAACGTGATCGAGGCACAAGACCTTGTAGCACAGGACAAGAACCGGTTCCCTGATGCATATGTGAAGGTACAAATGGGGAACCAAGTTTTCAGGACGAAGATGGTTCAAGGTCGAACGATGAATCCGGTTTGGAATGAGGACTTGATGTTCGTTGCTGCTGAGCCCTTTGATGAGCATTTGGTACTCTCGGTCGAAGATCGTGTTGCGCCCAACAAAGACGAGAGCATAGGTAAAGTTGTGATCCCCTTGACCACTGTTGAGAAGCGTGCTGATGATCGATTCGTCCGTGGAAAATGGTTCACCCTCGAGAAGTACATTACACCTCCCACGGATGATCGCCAGGAAGGTAGGAGTTTCTCCAGCAGACTCCATCTCAAGGTAGTGCTGGATGGAGGGTACCACGTCCTAGACGAGCCAATCCACTACAGCAGCGACCTTCGACCAACAGCCAAACAGCTCTGGAAGCAGTCAATCGGTGTTTTGGAGCTTGGCATTCTCAATGCTGATGGGATTCATCCCATGAAGACGAGAGAAGGGAAAGGGACATCAGATACATACTGTGTAGCCAAGTATGGACCGAAATGGGTCAGGACTCGAACAATCATCGATAGCTTAAGCCCCAAGTACAACGAGCAGTACACATGGGAAGTCTATGACCCTGCAACGGTCCTAACCGTTGGTGTCTTTGATAACAGCCAGATCAATTCCAACTCGAATGGAGCCACCACCAGAGACTCGAAAATTGGCAAGGTTCGAATAAGACTCTCAACACTCGAGACGGGCAGAGTCTACACACATTCATACCCACTGCTAGTCCTCCACCCTTCAGGTGTCAAAAAGATGGGCGAGCTCCATCTGGCCATCCGATTCTCCTACACATCCTTCACAAACATGATGTACCTCTACTCCAAGCCACTCCTCCCAAAGATGCATTACGTGAAGCCACTGCCTATAGCGCAGCAGGACATGCTGCGAAACCACGCGGTGAACGTAGTTGCAGCGAGGCTAAGCCGGGCAGAGCCACCACTGAGGAAAGAGATCATAGAGTACATGTCCGACGCACATTCTCATCTTTGGAGCATGAGGAAGAGCAAGGCCAACTTCTTCCGCCTGATGTCGGTCTTCTCGGGGCTGTTTGCCATCGGGAAGTGGTTCGGAGATGTGTGCATGTGGAGGAACCCTGTGACCACAGTACTGGTCCATCTCCTCTTTGTGATGTTGGTCTGCTTCCCCGAGCTGATTCTCCCAACGGTCTTCCTCTACATGTTCTTGATCGGCCTGTGGAACTACCGATTTCGGCCCAAGTATCCTCCACACATGAACACGAGGATCTCTTATGCTGACGCGGTGCATCCTGATGAGCTGGATGAGGAGTTTGACACTTTCCCTACGACGAAAGGTTCTGACATTGTGAGGATGAGGTATGATCGGCTGAGGAGCGTGGCAGGGAGGATACAGACGGTGGTTGGTGATGTGGCGGCTCAAGGGGAAAGGATTCAGGCGCTGCTGAGCTGGAGGGATCCACGTGCCACTGCGATATTCGTGACGTTCTGCCTTGTGGCTGCTGTTGTGTTGTATGGGACTCCATTCCAGATTTTGGCACTACTGGTTGGGTTCTATACCATGAGGCATCCCAAGTTCAGGCATAAGACACCAGCTGCTCCCGTCAATTTCTTCCGACGCCTGCCTGCGAGGACTGACAGTATGTTGTGATTAAGTTTATAGTTGGGAGGTTGGACAGTGGTGAAAAAACTGATATCCTTTCTTACTGATATGATACTGTAAAGATTTGGCGTGCTTTGATATTTATATATACGCAATCGAAATGAAGGATGCAAAAATTCTTTGCGATTACAACCAAAATAAATCAGACGTCTCTGGACAGGAAGCATTTACAAATGGCCTATCCAAAAAAATCTGAACAAAAGGAAAATAATCCAAGAGAAGGCACCTCTGAATCTTGCCACCCACGCAACCCCATCATGGATTAGATAACATGGAAGTCACTTTATGGCTTGATGCGCCAATGAGCTTGCACTTGTTTTATTCTTCATCTTCATCTTCAAGATCAATTACCATCCTCGACTTCCTTCTGGAGACTGCACTTCCCATCTGTGGACTGGAAATAGAAATGTCCACACCATCATCCTCCAATCCATCTACTACCATCTGTCCACCATCATAATCATCTTCATCGACAGGAGAAGCATCCACGTCATCGTCTTCCAGTTCATCCACCATGAGTTCACTATCGTCGTCATCATCATCAGCTGGAGAAACATCCACACTATTGTCGTCCAGTTCATCTTCCATTGGCTCTCTAGCTTCGTCATCACCAGCAGCAGCAGGGGAAAAGCCACCACTTTCTTTCGTATTGTGGTTCAAACCAGAAGTATCATTTTGATCAATTCCTTCACCATGGTCCATGGCACCGCCAGGAACCTCAATTCTACTCGCTGATGCTTCTGGAGCGAGTTTCCTACTTTTCTTTCGGTCTTGGACCTCCTTGGCTCTCCTGTGATCCCACAACATGACAGGTGCACCGGCACGTAAATAAACACAGATACTTCAGAAGGTAAACAAACCAAGTTGGGGAAAATACCTATTCTTGAAGGACATCAATGTTTCCTCTTCAGATTCATGTCCATCGTTGATTTCCTCATCTCTCATGCTGGCTTCTGTCTGGGACCTTTTCCTCTGGGGAACATGAAGCCCAAGTTGCTTGAGTTTGCGGGTAACTTGTGCAGCTGTGAAACTGCCTTCTGGTGCCAGAGCATCTGCGATCATGTGGCTGCACCGTTTTTCTCCTTTGAACCTTCAGAAATGTTCATCAATTGGTTTAGATTAATATGATAGGGTGGGAAGTGATATGATATGTAAGTTGCAGACATGACAAGTTATGCAGAACTTACTGCTCATATAAAGCTCTGATTTTTTCTTCCTGATCCTTGCCAATAGCCGGCGCTCTTTTCCTAGCGCCCCTGTGGAGTAGGGAAAGTGTTGAAAGAAAATAAAGATCAGTTCTTTGTTCAACCTTCTTCATACTGGAACATTTGCACCAGCCTGGAAAGTTAAGTGTCCATCAAGAGATATGGACTATGGATGCTTGATTTTACTTACGTGGATTTCTTGAGCAAGGTTTCTTCCTCTGTGATCTTTTCACTTTGAGAGGGCCGATCAGGATCAGTAGAATCTGTTCCCCTGGCCTTTCTTATCCTTTTCTTTAATGAAGCTTTCAGCCCAAGCTGCTTTAGCTTGTTTAAAACCTGTGTTGGTGAAACTCGGCCAATAGGATCTAGGGATTCGGCGATGCGATGACAACATTTCTCATCATCCTTGAATCTGAATGAATTCATGAAATGCATGAGAAAATGGTAGCAATATCTCAGGACATTAGAGGTTAAGTGAGGAATCTTGATGGAAGCACTTACTCCTCGTAGAGATCTTTGATCCGTAGCTCCATTTCCTCCGTCAGCACAAATCTTTTATTTCTTGGAAGTTCCTTTCTGGAGAAACTGCTGCCAGAAGTTGACGCCTTCTCATTCTGCAATTCATTTGAATTGTCTTCCATACTGTATATAAAGGAAATCACCCTAAATCATCTTCATCACCCTTGTGATGTAGCTAATATCAACAGCTGAAATAAACTAATCGTAGAAATCTAAAAAATGTAAAGCTCCAGGGAAATTACTGTCAATTCCTTTAACAAACATCTAATAGGTACACTTACTTTTGATTTTCCATGTCATGGGAGATCACGACATCAGCTTCATCATCACCCAGAGCATCAGCAATGCTTCTAGGAGCCCATCCTGTGGCCCCTGATGAACCAACTTCTCCATCGGCTGAAGCGCCAAAGAAATCTTTTGTCTTTCTTCTCAAACTGCCCAGCTCATGTACTAAATAGTCTGCATTGATGTAATTGCATTCACTTCTGGACTTCCAGAAGAGAACTTCTAGAAAGAGGAGGGGTTGATTCTTCATTTTCCTCAACATTCTCCTCACCAGAGTTGTAAGGAACTCTACAATATTTTCATATTCCTTGCACGGAGACGACTTTTGCTCATTGAGAATGTCATAAAACATTGTGAGTAGAGATAACTGCAAAATTCATACAATAATTAACTGTTAGTGATAACAGTTGTACCATGCATTAAGTACTGCAAAAGAAAGAATAGAATAAAAAATCAACCTGATATAGCATTGGAGAAAGGTCCTGGTCTTCTGTTATCCTCCGCAGCATGGATATGATGTAGTGATTTGTTGTGACGGAATTGCTCTTATAGAATCGAAGCAACCAGCATAAATTGCAAACGAAGCTATGGTTCGCGAAAGATTTCATGAAAGTTGTGACATTAAAATCAACTTCATAGGTTGAAACAGGTTCGTCATCAGCAGACTCATCATCCGAGCAACAAGAGAGATCATCATCTATAGGATTAGGATCAGCCCTTATATCATCTGGAGATGTATTGCGGTCAGGATTTCCCATCTCCGGAGTTATCTCTGGTTGATCAGAATGAATACCGGTGTCAGGATTTCCCATCTGTCGAGTTATCTCTGGTTGATCAGTAGGAATAGCTGTGTCTGGATTCCCCATCTCTGTAGTTAGCTCTGGTTGATCAGTAGGAATAGCAGTGTCAGGATTTCCCATCTCTGCAGTTATCTCTGGTTGATCAGCAGGAATAGCAGCGTTAAGGCCATCGTGTTCGTTAGATGTTCCATTTTCCTGACTTCCTTTATCCAAACTTCCTGAATCAGGTGGCTGTTCATTCCCATTCTGAATGGTAGCTTCACCTCCACTAGGTAAATCTTTGTCTTGTCTCTGATCACTTGAGGACTTCTTCTTTCGAACCTTCCTTGACCCCTTAGAAACCTTAACAATTAAACAACATAGATTATTATCACTTTTAGAAAGCTTATTCACAACCAAAAAAAATTCGATTGACAGGAAACTTCATCGCGTGAAATAAACATAAACCAAGATGGAAAATCAAGATAAACACACAAAAGACATGCTAAAACTTGCCAGGTGCTTGAAGAATAGTCATAAATTCATTTAGAAATCTGCTAAGTAGAAATCATCTTACCCTCATAGTGCCACGAGTTTGAAGAAGTCCCATCAATCTTACAATAACATGAACTGTTTCCACCAAATCTGCAAGATCACTGAAAAGCAACTATAATGAATAATTGAGTACCACTCATATGTGAAACCTAAATATACAAATGGCAAACAGCAGTCTGCACATCATAAACTCAAATTACGCTGGACCACTCTGACAAATGTACTGTATAGAGAGACAGTAAGTAGAAACAAACTGGGGGTAGTTCATAATCTTCTCGTGAGATGACTGATGTAAGACTGGGTAGTAGAACACATCATTGTGCACAAGATTCTCACATCTAATAAAAATGTATGAAGATGTTTGAGAGAAGAGAACATGCTGGTTGGTCGTTTCAGAAGTATCGCCAATGATTACTAGCGAAATGTTCAAAAGCGCTGGAACTTTAGGTGCTAAAAGCACGTGCAAGTTTTTTTTTTTTTTTTTCAAGTTGAATACTGTATAGTTTCCATGTCAAGGAGTACCAGAATCATGAAATGCATGCAGAGTAAAGAAAGGATAAGAATAAATTTAAACATGCACTGTGGGAAGAAGAAGCACCTTTTAGATTGCTTATGGGTGTTGAACGATTTAATCAGGTTCAAGATGAATTGGGTCATCCCTTGATCAGTCTGATCATAGAATAACTTGTAAAGCAGTATCCGAGCTGTTTGAGGCTCTTTAGAATTTTCAGGCAGTAGCTTAAGCACCAAGTCTAGAATGCGAATCTGCACATGAAAGAAGCATGTCAGCAAGGGAATTGCACAATATGAAGTTGAGACCCAATTCTTGTCCTGAAAGGCCCTACTTGGTGATATTATCATATCTAGTCAATTTATCACTTCACAACATGAATTTGTATATAAATCGTGCAAAGCTGATCTTTTTGCTAATGTTACAGAAAGACATTTTGGTCAAATGCCGAAATCTTCAAGGTACTTACAATCTACACTCTATCTTAGCAAATAGTAACCAGTGTGCATCTTGCAACATTCTCTAGTTGAATGTTTCTGTTATTCTTTTTCATTGTTAGTTGAAGACATACCCTAGATGCGGATCTTGGACAAATATGGGGAATCAGTCACAGTCCAATGTCTATAAAAAACTGAGCAACACCATCCTTTTGTCAAGTCAACAATTTAAACAAAATATTGCTCTCACTCTGGCAATTAGTATTTCCAAGTTAAAACAAGAAAGTATAGATGCAATGGGAGACAATTACATGGGTCAGATTTAGGTACCTTATCCACTAAAAAGGGAAACAGAAATATCAAATACTGCTTACCATAATTTTCATAAGTGAACCTGCTACAGAAAGTAACTTGTATTCATGTGTTTGCTTCAGAGAATCAAAGGCATCCCGCCACGTTGAAATGACAAGTAGAAACATTGATTCCTTCATTGATTCTGCAATCGGTCCACATACATCACCTGTGAATACTGTACTATCAGCAGGGAAGCCAGAGGCTTGAGGAGAATCCCTTGCAGTTTCCGGCTGCCAAACAACCAAGGCTACTATCAACTAAATTCCCTTTTGAACGTTAAATAGAACATTTTACAGAATTACTCAGGATCCAGTTAATAACACCACTCCCAGCTATGCTTCTACCAACGGATGCACTATTCAAATTCACTACAGAGGAAAGCTTCCAAATATTTGAATGACCGAGAATGGATATAAAAGACCAATTGCTCATGCAAAGATATAGGAGGATATATCTAATAATAAATCTAAGTCCTTCAGTTTATCAAATAATATGTTTAGAATACCAGGTTTTTTTCCATCCTACCTAGGTGTAAGAAGAGAACGTTTAGTGTGTTTTCATTTTTAATGAAAAGAAAAACATGTAGCATAGTCCTCCCTAATGGTATAAGGTGAGATTTACTACCCTGTGGACCAAACTAAGAATACACTTCGATAAGTTATTTCACATGCATTCTTCTATACCAAATACATCTCTCAAGATTGTACACATGGGAAAAGAATCAGCTACACTGAAAATCATGTTTAAAGCCTGAGCAGCCAATCTCTGGGAGCAATTGATTTTTATATTGAGGAAAGAGTAACACATCGACACTCACCTTTGAATTCAAGAGCATGTAATATTGATAAGAAGTGGCAAACTGAACAACTTGGAAGAAAACAATGATATCGTTCTTCTGGATTGCATTTTGTTCCTTTTGGATATCTTCACGAATTGACTGGATCAAAACTGGAATTCCAGAGGATGATATTAAGTATTAGTAAAGGAACCTGTCATGAGATGAAGCATAAAGTAGATTGCAATTTAAGTCTTTGAATATGTACCGTTATAACTTCCTGAAAGAAACTGTTCCATGAAATCATGTAGCAATTCCAAGATCTTATGCTTCGTCACACGAAACTTGGCATGGTCCCAAACAATCTTTTTAGACGCACCCCGTTGGATAGCATGAGGCTTATGAAAAGCATTGGAAGCAGCAGCAGGTTTTCCTTTGCATACTGTCGTAGAACCATCCTGGGAGAGAACAACTCAGTTAAGAATTTAGGAATGCAGAACCCCTAGAAGGCATCTCCCATGACCAAGGCATACCATGGTGATCCGAGAAAACGTCCCACTAAACTGGGAGTGGCGAGCAATATTCTGTGATCTGCACTGTTTAAGTTTCTTCTTTTCCTCTTCCATAATGGACTTGAGATTTTCAACAGAAGCAATGCTCTCTCCACCGTCCTAACAAAGTTTATTAGTTAGACGTGAAGCACCCCAAATGTATTTCATCATCAATATATATGACAAAAATGAGCTATAGTGTAGAAAGTCTGCAGACATGAAAATCAAACTGTTGGCTATTTTAATTAGCAATTTCCAGAACAGAATTGACCTGTTCTTTGCATTTTCCTTCGTCAAGTTGGCAAAGGTTTCAGTATGCTTTGCATTAGTCTCTACACTATTAGGAAAGGGAGAATATGAACTTCTTCTAACCTCGGAATCCTTGAAACGAGCTTTGGCAATCAAATCTGGATCTTGCCCCAGAAAAATGTAATGGAAAACTTCTAGAAGAAGTAAGTTATCATGACGAAGGAAGCCACGTGAACCAGCAACATGCTGAGTCAATACTAAGATCAGGTCCATGACATTCTCGTTGAACAGGAGTTCAAGAAACCCATCTCTCAATAACAGGAACTGACAAGCTGATCCCCCAACTTTCTGAGGCAATGAAGCATCTTGAATTGCAAGGATGTTCCGAAAGAGAGTCAGCACCAACTGAACCAACTTCCAATCATCCTCCGTGAATAATTCACTGTGGGTTACAGAATCAACATCAGTACCAGAAGGGACACCATTATAACACATGCAAACAGTTGCATTTACCTAAACAATAATTTACCAAAGACATTGAGCAATTAAAGAAGTTTCCGGTAGTAGAAAGTACCCTACCGCTCCAAATCTTCAAGTGGCCCTTCCAAAAGCGAAACAATGACAGCAACTGTGTCGCTACTCGTTATCGCAGACTTCAGACCCCAAAGATACTCCAATTGTAAAGGGATTTCATTCGAGGAAGGGTCGATTGGCATGGTCAGGAACACAAAAACCTTCACTGAAATATCAATTGCACAAGAAACATCAACACCCTTACTACTCAGGACCAACTAATCAACGTGAGAAACAGATAAATTTACCTGCGTTCAAGACCAAATCCCGATCATCCTGGCAGTATTGAAACATAGGAATCAAATCCTTAGCGACTATATTCCATTTGCAAACTTGCTTGAACACTTCCCGCGTCTGCGGGTCATCACGCCTCAAAAACCTCACCAAATCCTTCAGATTCTCTACAGAAGAAAAAAAATCCCTAGACACTCAGATTCACTAACAGATAACACTAACCGAAGAATGGAGACAGAAAGTTTACCCAGGCACTGCTCGCCCTTGGAGTAGCCGATCCGGTTGCCGTCGTCGTCCTCCTCCGCTATGCCGAGGCCAGCGCAGATCAATGCCAAGCCGTGCGTCTCCATATTCAGCCGGCGATTTTGTTCCGAGCTTGCTGAAGTAAGGAGAGAGAAATGGAGAGATTGAGAGAGGATTGACTGGGCGTCAGTCACTGAGAGAGAGAGAGAGGGGCTAGGGCTTTTGAGGCGGGAATTAGGAGGAAAATTTTCCCGCGCTTGTTGAATGGAGAGTGAAACTGAACACGTGACGTGGCGGCATGAAATTGCACCAGTCACACTTGTTCGGCGGGCCGGGTGATCTAAATTCAAATGGGCTTTGGGCCGTCTGTCAGTTCTGCAAAGATCCTTCCGGCGGCCCATCTTCATTCCCCTCGAATAACACATGCATTAAGGTAGGTAAGTTCACCGGTTAGCCGCCAACAAGAAGTAACAGTGTAACTCGCGCATTTAGAAGTAGTAGCCTTTCATACGGCGTCGTTTAGAGTTGAAGCCAGCGGGTCAAGTCAATCGACAGGCAAAAATCCAGACGTTTTGAACTGTGACACAAAAGCTTCAAACGGGCAACAGAACTACGGAAACGCCCTGTCGATACAAACTAGGCGGCTCCCTCCTTTCTCTTTTGTTCCCTTTCCCTTCGAGCCTTCCGCCAAAAATCCACTGGCCGATTTCTCCAATCAAACCTCTCCCCGTCCTTAAAACCCTTCAGCTCGTAGCTGTTTCCCCTGTCTCGCATTCCCCCTTTCTTTTTCATATCCCCATTTGGAAGCTTCTCCCGTTCTCCGACGTCAAATGGCGCAAGTGGTGGCTACCAAATCGATTCACGGCTCGCTGCTGAGCCCTGGCTCTACTGGGTCGCTGCAGGAGCGAGCTGAGAGGCTGAAAGCTTCGAGCTTTGCCACCTCCAAAGCGTTCGGGCTCGAGAATGAGAAGAAGAGGAGCAGCAAGAAGAGCATTGGAGTTGCTCGTAGAAGTAGCAGACCAATGGCGGCTGTCACGAGATCTGTCCGTTTGGAGCCTGAAGTGGTTCCCGTCTCGCCGGAAGATGTTCCAAAGGTTAGCTCTCTTGGCTCTGGTAATTGGGTCTCCAATCAATTTTCAAGTCTTTGAGGAAATGAGGCTGCTTTTTTTTGGTTTTCTATCCATTTGGGGTTGATGTCTAGTTACATTTTTACCCATTTTCCTTCGAATTAGAGGGCAGAGAGGTTTATGGAGTTGCAGCAGTTTGGGGATACTTCAGCGGGAGTGTGGTCGAAGCCTGCAGTGAAACGGAAGACCAAGATTGTTTGCACCATTGGCCCATCGACGAATACGAGGGAGATGATCTGGAAGCTGGCCGAAGCTGGAATGAATGTGGCTAGAATGAACATGTCTCATGGGGATCATGCTTCCCATCAGAAAGTGATTGACTTGGTCAAGGAGTATAATGCCCAATCCAAAGACAATGTCATTGCCATTATGATTGATACTAAGGCAGGTTTCGCCTCTTTCCAAGCTTATTTATTTATTTATTTAGTTCCCTTTTGCTATCTTTAAATGCATTTCCAGTTAGATTATGTGTTCATTTGGGCAATGTTTGTTGATTATAGGGCCCTGAAGTTAGGAGTGGCGACTTGCCCCAACCGATCATGTTGGCGAATGGCCAGGAATTCACTTTCACAATTCGTCGAGGAGTTGGAACAGCTGATTGTGTTAGTGTGAACTATGATGATTTTGTGAATGATGTAGAAGTCAATGACATGATTCTTGTTGATGGTATGTTTACGCCGCCTCACTATTCAACTTTAACGATCTGTGTAACTGATGGTTTGGAGTAGGAAGACCTAACTCCAATTTACATTATTTGCTGACTTTTGAAACATTTTAGGTGGCATGATGTCTCTGCTTGTGAAGTCGAAGACTGAAGATTCGGTGAAGTGTGAAGTTGTAGATGGGGGTGAACTGAAGTCTAGACGCCATCTTAATGTTCGAGGAAAGAGTGCAACACTACCTTCCATCACTGGTCTGGACCACAGAACTAGTCTTGTGCTGTTTAGTGGCTAACTATTTTTTTACTTGGTCTTGACTTCTTTCTGCTACTTCCTTGCAGACAAAGATTGGGATGACATAAAGTTTGGAGTGGACAACAAAGTAGATTTCTATGCTGTTTCATTTGTCAAAGATGCACAAGTTGTTCATGAGTTGAAGAATTATCTCAAGAGTAATATTTGGTTCACTTCGCTTGCTTATACATGTGTTTGAATTGAATTCATATGATGTAGTCAAACCCCAATGCTGTAACTGTGATCCTTCTATTTCTGTAGGCTGTGGTGCAGATATACACGTGATTGTAAAGATTGAAAGTGCAGATTCTATACCCAATTTGCACTCTATAATCACAGCATCAGATGGGGTCAGCAATTGGATATCTACATTGTATTTTACAGACCATATCTTGCATTATTGAAAGACTAAAGGGGAATAGTGGTCTCATGTAGGCAATGGTTGCAAGAGGAGATCTTGGAGCAGAACTCCCAATTGAAGAAGTTCCACTTCTGCAGGTTAATAACTCAACTTTCATGGCTAGCTAATGCATCTAGGTGCGCACGAGGTCATGTCTTCTTTTCTTTGAAATTTTAGGAAGAGATTATCCGATTATGCCGAAGCATGGGGAAAGCTGTTATTGTGGCTACCAATATGTTGGAAAGTATGATTGTACATCCTACTCCAACCAGAGCAGAGGTGTCAGATATTGCAATTGCTGTTCGAGAGGGTGCGGATGCAGTCATGCTTTCTGGAGAAACTGCCCACGGAAAGTGAGTGGCTCTCACTTATTATGGCCTTTAGATTGGATGCTTTAAATATCTCTCAGGAAGTAAGAATCTTTGCTTTATTGCAGATTCCCGTTGAAGGCTGTAAAGGTCATGCACACAGTCTCATTACGGACTGAAGCAACTTTGTCTCGCGGGCCAATGCCAGTTGATCTTGGCCAAGCTTTTAAGGTATGTGATAGATGATGAGTCTCACTTTGTTCGTCTAGTTGATTATTTGCTATTGCAGTTAAAAGGTTGTCATCATCCACAGAATCACGTGAGTGAGATGTTTGCATACCATGCAACCATGATGTCGAACACTCTTGGGACATCAATCGTTGTCTTCACCAGGACCGGCTTCATGGCTGTTCTACTTAGCCATTATCGACCTTCAGGGACAATTTTTGCTTTCACTAATGAGTAAGTATTGCATGAACACGTGAATAATTATATAGTGAAAGTAAATTTTTTATTTAGAGGAAATACTTATCAAAATGGCAGTTTCCATAATGTCAAAAGTATCAAAACTTGCGTTCCTTCGAGGAACTACAATGCTAATTAGATGTATCCAATGGCTGTGCAGGAAAAGGATACAACAGAGGTTAGCAGCCTATCAAGGAGTATGTCCCATTTACCTTGAATTCTCCGATGATGCTGAAGAAACTTTTGCAGATGCCTTGAAACTACTAAAGGCAAGCTTGCATAACATAAACTACGCTTCATTTTAGCTGGCTCAACTCGTAGTAATCTAAGCATGATGGATCGTGTCACCATACTCTAGTTCTTGGGTTTGCTTATACCCATTCTGAATTTTCCATGTGCAGGATCAAGGAATGGTTAAGGAAGGCGAAGAGGTTGCTCTGGTTCAAAGTGGCAAGCAACCCATCTGGCGATTCCAATCGACTCATAATATCCAGGTCCGCGAAGTATAGTAGACACAACAAGGATAACAACGATCAAATCATTTTCTCGCTCTTGTGCAATTCGAGATGAACCTGTAGATTTGTTTTTTTACTGAACTCTGCTTTGCTTTGTATCAAGCATTTTGTAGCATGTATTTGAAGAAACTAGTGCCTGTTGAAATCAAAAGCATATTGTACCCGTGTTTGCAATGTTTGCTTTATTATTCCTTGTTCTACAAGGATTTCCAATGTGGAAAGGTTTCTCATTTCTCATAGACTTTTCTGAATGGATGAAGTATATACCCATTTTGAAGATCCCAGTACCTAGACCAAACCATAACCCCTCCATACTTGGGTGACTTCTTGATCAGTGGAAGAATCTGAAATGTCAACACATCTGATGGAACACACCCACTCCCGGCTGCCTGAGGAGCCGCTGGCAAACCCAGGAATATCTTGCCAGCTTTAATCGAAGTCGTCCATCGATTCCAGGAACTCACCAGGCTGTTAATGTCACCGGAACCTGCAGAGTACTGGAACGGAGGGTTGTTATATAACTGGATCCACAAGTAGTCGAATAACCCTGTATTAAGAGCATTCCCCAAGTTCCTATCCGGAAAATGACATTGAGGAGTTGCAGTCAGGTACACCTTCCGTCGACCCCTCTTGCCATACGCAGACAAGTACCGCGCCAGATCCTCCCAGTACAGGGTAGAGGCCTCGATGTCGAATTCGATCCCAATGGACGAGACGACGACTTCCCTCCCAGGTAGTTGTTCTAGAGGTACTCCGCCACGCCCTTGGCATCTGCTCGAGATGCCAACGAGTAGCTCCCGATGCCACCTCCCAATGAGAGCATTACTTTGATTCCTCTCCTCTGGCAGTCTCGGATGCCGGTGCTGACACCCTAACACCCTTTGGAAGCCGGGTTGCAGTGGCCTGCCAAGTTGAGCTCAGGGGTCTGGCCGTTGCCAAACTTGTTGAGGAAAGCTATGCTGACATAAGTGTACTTTCCGGTTGCACATGTCTCCGAGAGTGTTCCTTCGTTGCCATTCTGGCCCCAGTAAATGGCCACCCCACCAGCGGCGGAGCATGACCGGATTACTGAGAGCAGAAGAATGGGAAGGAGGACGATGAGCAGTTTGGGTTGTGGATTCTTCGCCATTGTTGCTCTTCGGGAGAAGGTTTGATCTTTGTTGATGTAAATGATAGAAGGCTGGTGATGGTTTATATAGGTCTCAGGCCAGTAGCCTGGTGCAATGACATGAGACCGAAGAAAAGTTCAGAGAGAGCAAACTGCAATGGCGCTGAATGTGTATGCACTATGGTCGTGCAAGGAAATTGATGAAGATGGGGGAGGGTGTTGGAGTTGACTCAGTAAGCAGCAACGGTTTATGCCGGTAGTGATCAACTTGTATTTTATAAATTAGGAAAGGAGTTATGGGGATGGAGGCTGATTTTTGAATGGTTGACTTGAAAATTGGCAACTTCTCACTAGCAAGAAAGCGGAAGACCTCTTTTTCTCAATGGTTACCTTTCTTTCGTTTCAGTATACGTACAGTTGATTAGTGGGAAAAATCCCAGAATATGTAAAGTTACACACAAAAAAACCTCACAATACAACACTTTCTAAAAAAAGTTTACAAAATGTCCAAGTTTCGTGCAGTCAACTGCACAGCAAAGCAAATCACCAAGCAGTTTGCCTAGTGCTAGAAAAGAAAGCGGACTCAAAGTGGTTTGCGGGTCTAGGTAGCGAACTAGTAGGGTTCGCCGATCTGCGGAGCAAACTACAGTGGTTCGCTACTTATGAAAGCGAACCACTTTGAATAAACTAGAATGCTGACATATTTTTACGTAGTTTGCTTCCAATGGAAGTTTGGTTGCTTGACTTGGAAGCTTGGTTGCGGGCAGGGGCGGACTCATGTGTATGGGTGGGGTGTCCCGGGACACCCCTAAAATTTGGGAGAAAAATTAATCAACTCCTAATAGTAGTATGAATATGGAAAAAAAGAAAGAAAAAAGACGATAGTGTATGTGATTCGAATATATAATATAGTAGTTATTAGTTAACATCGTTTTCGATTTGAGTACACTTCATTTGTTGTTGTGATTTTTTTCATATATCCTCAAAATTTTCAAAGTCTTTAACCCACGAACTATCCCTTATCCCAACCGTATTCTAACACACAATTTTATCCTGAAGAGTTCCGTCGCCTCTCTAATTTTGTACTTCTACATGATTTTGAGAATTACTATCATTTTGTCAAAAATGATAAGTTATTTTATGGATTATAAGAAAGTGATGAATCTTAACTTATATTATGGCCGTTGTGGAGCAAGTTTTTGCCACGTAGGACAACGAAATCTCCACAATTTTCCATGTCATTTTGTCATTTTTAACATTTTAAGTTATTAGTTACATTTTAAGTCATGACCAAGATTTGAACCTATCATCATTTCAAATGTTCAACCACTAGGATAAAGTATATTTGATGCTATTAACCACAACAAAACATGTATATCAATTACCATAACTAAGATTTAATCATGCAACCTACAAGCTCAAACTGTAATCATTTCAGATTTTCAACCAATAGAATAAAATATCTTTCATGCAATTAATCACAACTATTTTTTAACCAATAGAATAGCTATCAGGGTTAAAATGTTATATTCTATTTTTTAGCATTGATAAGAAAATCATTAACATCTACAAATAAATTATTTTTAGTTTATAATATGTTTCATAATTATTTATAATTTCTTACAAATAATTAAAAAAATCCGAAAAGAATAAATTTAGTTGGTAAACAATTATAAACTTTTACATAATTTGACATGTGGTTTTAATTTAAAATTGAAAAATGAAAAGTAAAGAATAATCTTCTTCCGCATTCTAGAACACGAAAAATTTAACATTTTATTTGTACGAACTACTATAACTATGTGAACCAATGTAGATATGTTGCAGTTTGTTAGAAAATACTTACTATAAATATATGAAATATATCAACATAGTTCAGTCATATGGTACATTGATATATACACAAAATTTCATGTGTTTAAGAATATCACTAGACACCAATGGTCACCAAATGTTTTTTTGTATATTTTTTAAAACCGAATTATGGTTATATGGTTTAAATATGTTTGTGACCAATTGGTGAAAGAAGTTAAAAAAAAGTCATGTACATATACATAATGCATTTTTCATTTTTAGGAATGAATTTGGCATTTCTCGCATATTAAAATGATATCACTATCTTTTCTTTTATGTTATTCCGACTTATTTCTCTTTTCATTTTCCATACGTCATTAAATATTCTTCCATGCACAATTATAAAACACATTGTCTTTACTTTTTTCCTAATGTAATTATAATTCTTTTCTTTTCTCTTTTTATTGTTTGACATAAATTCCTTTCTTTTTCATACATGAGTGTAGATGTGCAACTTTGAGTCATATTCAGATGAATAACACCTAAGTTAAGCGAGATTTGTAAACGAATCTTAAACTATTGGATATATGATGGTTGATATGTAAATAACTATTTTAATACTTACTTAATATGACACCCTAATACATATATTTCTATTACTAATTTTAGTAACCAGTTATACTCGCCGGACAGCCTTACTCATAAAATAATGATCTATATCTTCTCTGTTACCTTTAAGAGTATAGTTCAAAATGACTTATTGTCCCTCCTATTGACCATGGCAGAACACGGAGTATTCAGTTTTCCGTCACCCACCTCTCAGGCCTTCTGCCTTAACTTAACTATCAAGATACATGCGATATGCTATATCTTATTCGGTCAAATAAACATCCATTCATCACCACATGCCATATCACATTCATCATCTCACACTCAAAGAATTCATACATCACAACATAAGAACCATCACCCAGCCTCTTGATAACTCAATGTTTAAACATGTATGCATCAAATATCACATCATACTGGCATTACCATGCAACCCCTGTCCCAACATAGCAAAACATCATATCATCCAATCTTAAATCATTGTATAAAACACCATAGAAAACCATCATCATCGAAATGCACATTTCATATATCACTCATAGAAAGTCATCACTTAACCACATCATAAGTAATATTTATACAAGGATTCAATCACATGCATGGTTAGGTTCATTGCATTTTACATCTTAATTTTCCAAGTCATACATTCCTCGGGTAGTATAGTAGATGTCATGCATACCACCACAGATCGTACCTAGACTGGTGTCCTATAAATCCACTGCGGGTCATACCCTAACCGATGTCATGTATACCAGGGTGGATGTACCCGGACCGATGTCCTATAAAATCAACGCAGGATCATATCATGATGAAGTCCTATAAATTCAGTTACTATACTGACTACACAACATAGCGCCTTTATGTTTGTATTAAGTCACACAATTCCTGTTACAGTCAGTCACATATTTAATATTGGATGATAATGTGAAGTGAAGACAAAGTGTCTCAATAACTAACATTTGCTTTGATATCATCCGTACAATGTTGAAGGTAAGAAGCATAGCAGAATAGTTTTGTTGTACTTTGATATAATGGTGGAAAAGGCTAGCGTACACTCGAGATGTAATATGCACCTTCATTCATACCTATTATTTGTCTGTTAATATATTTTGACAAATAAGGATAGGTGGTTATTATTTTTCATTAAATGAATCGTACGATTTGGATTAGAGAATTAGATACCGTGGTTCACCTATTAGAAAATATGGTATAGCATCATGTGCCAAACTTCGTTAATACATGGTCTAAATACCAACTCTATAGGAGTTCGGTAAGGTGGCGTACACGAGCTTAAACCATGTACAACTTATGAAGTTGACAATTGTTGGTCCAAACGGTGATGAAGTTACAGCGTTGTTTGACGTTATTGTTGATCATCATTAAAACATAGAGTAAATGTAGCGGCCCTCATATCAGATAAGTCAGTGATAATTGGTAACAATAATAAATAATCATGAAAATTAGGAATCTGATACCATTGAAAAAAATAACAAATAATAGAAGGAAAAGTACAAACAGATAACACTCGTCGCCCATCGGGCGGGCACAAAACTAGTTAGTTGAGTTAATGGCAGAGACAAATTGAATCCACTATTTTTATTGGTCTATTTGCTTCTCAAAGTTAATTGATTTTATCTATTGCAACTCCAAGTTTTGAGAGAGTTTTTTGAGCTTTGGGTTACATCAAAAACAAGTTTCAGAATCGAATAGATGATCAGTTCATAATTGTCTAGTAAGATATATTGAAATAGATTTGTTGAGCAAAGTAGATAGTGGGTAACACGTCGTTGACTTTTGTTGTAGCTAACTTGTATTAGTCGGGTACTTTCTTAATTAATAATTTTTAAATTTTTAATAATCATTTTAATTTAATTTTGGAATGGGACACCCCTATATAAAATTTCATGGTCCGCCACTGGCTACGGGGTTTGGATGGCTGTGGAGTTTGGAATAGTCCACCATGGGATGCCCATAATAAGATGGTTTGACTAAGCTCTTAGGGTGGTGGAATTTCCACATCTTCTCGCACTTCCAAGGAAATTCTTACTAGCTCGGGCGGACATTTACTTCTCCTTGGTGGCGATGGCAGGAGGGATAGGACTTCAATTTATGGGAGGAAGCACGTGTGATCACTTGAATCCGTGCAGGTTATTGTCAGTAGTTAGCACGTATCAACAACTATCCCATCATAGGCCAAGTTTAACCTAGGACGACATTGCCGTATAGTGGTAATCAAGGTCGTATTCTACTCAGGGTCCTGGTACCCTAGCCTACTTCCCACCTTGTTGTTAATTAGGTAATCGGTTTTTGAGATTTTAAGTGGAGAATATGAGGAAACACTAGTCTAGAGGTACTTCGGGGAATTAATCCTCCCCCTAGCTTAGGGCTACTATGCATGTTTAGATACTTAGGGTTATCGAATGTGGTGAGTGATCTCTTTTCCGTGTGCTTTCGTGGTTATCCACACGCCTCCAAGTACGCCTCCCCTAAACTCATGTTTAAGTCACCTTGATCTAGGCTATCGTATCTGGGGCATTAATCTTATGGCTCATTTCAATGGATAATATCCACCGCCCACAGCGAGGATTCATCCCGAATTTCATCTAGGAAGGCTACCTATAGCAGGGGTTCTGTTGCCTCGACCACTTTACGCCCCCATTCACACATCTAACCTAAACTTGCCAGATGGCATAGTTAGTAAATACTCCGTTTAATACACGTACATGTGCCCGTACGTATTTTATCCGTTTAAAACTTTTGTATCCGTATTATTGACAAGTTGTTTCATTTTTCCGTTTATTTGATAGTTATCGTACAATCACGTATAAAACCGTATGATACGTTTAATATCCATATTTCATTAATTAAATTGTTAGCTTTACTATTATTTATATTTTTAAAATAACTTATTATATATATTTATGACTATCAACGTACTATTAAACGTAACATTAGCTTAGACACGAAGTAAAATATCCGTACTTATTTTTTATGTAACTTTCCCGTACCGTATTTTACTAACTATGGCAGATGGTGCATACCCGTCTAACCCAAAAACTCCGTACCAAGCGCGGTAGCATAAAGTAGGCTAAGAGGGAAGGTTAGAGCGACTTACCCAAGCGTCATCATTTAGGAAAGAGTGGCATTAAGAATCAACTAGACAAACACATTCATTCAAACACTAAAATATCCATAGTGATAACAAACCCTAAACTAGGGTTGGAGTTTAGAACCCCTAGTACCTTAGAGGACTACACCATAAAGGAGGAAAGAAGATACATGGTAGAAATAGAAGAAGACTTAGGGTAGAAGATGCATCCTTGCTCCTATCTCCTCCTTCTCTTCTCCTTCCTCCAGCTTCTCTCTTCTGTCTCTCTAGAACCAGAAATTTCACCCAAAATCAGCTCTCTTGAAAATGGGTAAGGGGTCTTCTATTTATAGGCATTTTGGAGTCGGGGAAGTTCGCGGTCTGAGGTAGGGAGATCGCGGCCGTGATCTTTAGTCACTGGACCGTGATCTCGAAACGTTGTTGTCGAGGCCTTCGGGACTGGTGAGATCGCGGCCTGACTTCGCGGTCACGATCCATGAGTCGCGGCCGTGATCTTCCTCGCGGACATTTTGCATGTTGGTCGTAATTGGACTAGGGAGAGTCTCTGCTCCTTCATGGCTCCTTCCTCGCGAAGTTCACGCCCTGGGCCTCCAAGATCACGGTTGCGATCTTTGGCTTCTGGGCTGCGATCTTCAGCGAGACTTCACGGTTGGGGATCCCGGTCACGATCTTTGGCTTCCAGGCCACGATCTTCAATCCTTGCCCCTTTTCTACACTTGTGACCTTGTTTTGTACGTAATTTGCATATATTGACTAATACACCCTATAATCACATCAAAATCAAATAGGGATGTATTTGACAATGTTTAAATGCTTAAGCACATGAATTGGTACAAAACATACCCTAATATAGAGGGTAAATAACACCGATTTTGGGGTTATCAACATGGCGGTGTTGATGATGGTGGGTAGGCGATAACATCTCGTCTATGCTTCACGACAAGAGATTCTTGAAGAGTCTTCGCAAAAAGTTTGTCTTCTTGGGCCCCATCGTGGGTTCACTCTCCACAGTCGCCTTCACAAATTCCAACACATCAAGCTAGTTCACAAACATGTTAATTAGGACGCCTCTATTTTTTACTAAGGTAAAATGGAAATAAATTAGATGCATGCTTCCCAACGAACCAATGACGGCACTACGTTTGTTTACGTATCTTTTGGTGAACTGTCAGCACCAAATCATGTACTTGTCATGGTACCCTCATTGGCCTCGTCATCGGGGTGCCACCAAAAACATGACTCGTTTGATTCTCCCAAATACCAATCCATGGCTTGTGTTGGTTACCCAATCAGTGATAGCACCTTGCAAATTCTAGTTGTGTTTTTTAGGTTCTTTCATCCCCTTTGGTGGTGGTGCAGGAATCAGTTGCTGCCACTTATATTATCGGACGCATCTATCTGGGAGGTATCACTCCACAATGTTGAAACATATGAGGGGCACTTTAAATGACCAATATTGTTGATCCTCGGGGGATCGCAATGCGTGCATCATCACTACTCCCCCACCGAGACAATTATGTTTAATTAGTCTACGTATTGAAATAAACAAGTTGCAATCGGTAGGTTGAGTGCGAATTTGCCCAAAACCCAACCCACACTCGAAAAGAAAAAATATTGTTTTGTATTTAATCAAAGATTTAAAAAAAAATTGCCTAAAGATATTTCGTATTAAACGAGAATAAGGAGATATACTAGAGTTAGTTGGCCGACTAGATCCAGCAAAGTAAATTGAACCCTATCAAATTAGGCGAAAATGAAAGGACTTTCATCTAATCAAAGATAAAATAATTAAGTATTAGTATTATTAGTCAATTTTTGGCAGGTGAAATTAATTACCTTCATCCCCATTACAAAAAGACAAAATCATCATCCCTTCTTTTGTCTACATAACGTTATATAAGTTTTGGAAACAATATGAAAGAAATAAGAGGAAAGTGAGAGACTCACTAAAAACGAATTGACAAGTAAAAAAAGTTCACTAAAATAGTTTCCGTCATATTAGGAGTAGGGTGGTACAATAAATTTTCTTCCCCCTTTTCCCTCCCAACCTATTCTTTTATCTCTTAAAAACTGTGGAAAATGCATGTGGAAGAGAGCTTTTCTTCCCACTTTTCCCTTCCTCTTCCTTTTCTTTCTTTCTTGAACATATGTAAATAAAATATAAGTCATGGAAAAAATAAAATGCATAATTTTTTTTAATAAAAACTAAATTTCTCGATAGCACATAAAAAGTAGAAAGATGCTCCCAAAAAAAATATAGCAAGGTGTCAGAGACTTTGTTGAGCGCACGATAAGTAAAAATAGAAGCAATTAATTTCTTCCAACAAATTTGGAGCTCTCAAAAGAATCATATAAAATTACTTAGATGAAAAAGATAGAGAAACCCAGTGATTTATGTAATGAGAGAGGACACTAAGTTTGAGAGGAAAAAGTACACAACGTTCTTCTACATTTTTTTCAAGCAAAGTATGTTATGTTTATCCATAGAAGATGTTCTACTGTTGTTGGTGGCAACAAGAATCGTACCAGACTAATTGCACACACCATTCTGCACGTTTTTGTTTTTAGAAATAAGTGAAGTGAATCCAAACAGGAGAGCTCTTTTTTCTTCTTTCATTTTGAGATATGATGCCGACGAATATTTTTAATAAAACTAAATTTTTCTGCAACACATAAAAAATAGAAAGATGTTTCCACAAAAAAAGGTGTCAGAGACTTTATTTACCGCCCGATAAGAAAAAATAAAGGCAACAATTTCCCTCAACAAATTCGAAGCTCTAACTCTATCACTCCGAAAAATTCGAAACTCTCAAAAGAATCATATAAAATTGAAATTATCTTGCAACGATGGATAATAGGAGTAAAATGTTATCAAGTTTTGCTTAGCTCTGTGCGGCTCTCATGGACAAGGATGACAACACATGATTGCTGTCACATAACTGGACCGCAGGTTCAGCAAATTTCTTCGAAACAAGTGAAGTGAGTCCAAACAGAATACCTCTTTTTTTCCCATTTTGTTCTTTGAAACAAGTGAAGTGAGTCCAAACATGAGACTTTTTTCTTTTTATTTAGATAGATGATGCAGGAGGGCTTCGTTTCTGCATTTTCTTTAAACATGTAATATGTTTATCTATAAAAGATGTTCTACTGTTGACGGTGGCAAGAAAAATCGTACCACGGTAATTGCAACTATCTTTCCATACGTTTTATTCTTCGAAACAAGTGAAGTGAGTCCAAACATGAAACCTCTGTTTTCTTTTTATTTTTATTTTGGAAGATGACGGAGGAGGTCTGGACAACCTTCAGACTATATCTTGTGGAATCTTGGATGATTTTGGAATAAGATAAGTTGAGAAATCATGGATGATTTTTCATTGTGGAATCTTAATATCCCTCATAATTTGCATGATGAATTTATTTTAAAAAAAAACCAGCACATAAACATATATTTGAACTTAGGTTATATTTTTCTCTTCATATGTTGACCTACCTTAGATAAATTTCTGGCTACGCCGCTGATTATTGGTATAGGTAAAGGCCAAATTATTTCAGTCAGGGTAATGCATATGCACTATCCGACCCCTACTCAACCCCTTGCCACCCCTAGGTTTGGATTATGTCTGGATGATTTGGTTTGTGTCTTTAATTAGGTTGTGTTTAGTTGTTTTTATTGATATTTTTATGACATGGAGTACTAACTGAACCAAATAATCATATTTTCGGACAAAGAAGGATTGAATGGATCAAAACTGGAATTCCAGAGGATAACAGTAAGATTCCCCCATGGAGTGGTGGAAGGAAAGAGAAGGGGTGGAATTCCAGGCGGAGTAAAATCGGTTGGAGAGGATGCAGAGTTGGGACAGATCTGGAATTACAGTTTTGAAACAAGAAGAACAAGAACAACATCAATGGTAAATCCTAACCACAGGACAGATCTGACTGTAGAACCAATAAAGCTTGTAACTTTGCTTATAGTTAACTCAAACCAACCTTAAGAAGAAGAGATATTGTATGATTATCCCACACATATATAGAGAAACTTACCCCAGAACAAACAAACAAAAACAGAGGAGCTAAAGGGCTGTGGAGTTCGGCCACGTCTGTAAAGGGGAGGAGGGCATGTTTCTGGGGAGTATGAGAGATAGATTGAGACATGAGCATGCGGCGAGGAGACGTTACCGGCGGCGGCAGGAGAGATGCGAGGGAGAAGGCGGCGGCCGGCGAGATGCGAGGGAGAAGGTGGAGTTTTTTTTTTTTTTTGAGTTGGGGGAAGAGAGGAGGAGGCTATTAGGTTTTGCAGGGAGAAGAAGAGAGAGAAAAAGTCAGAGAGGAAGGGGGTGATGTAAGCTGAATGGTTCTCACTTCTCTGACTAGATGTACTTTTTTTACTACCCTTAGATTTTTCCGATCAGAGAATTCAGAATTGGTTTTTTTTTTTTTACAACCCTCCAGCCAATCACAGTAAATTGGGAAAAAATCCAAAATTACCACTGTTTTAAAAAAAAAATTACAAAAATACCACTCACTCCAAAGAATTTCCAAAAATACCACCCTTAATTTAAAACCGCCCCCCTGATGAGCGGTTTTCAATGAAACCGCGCCTCTAAGAGGCGTTTTCCTATCTAACCGCTCCTTGGAGGAGCGTTTTTATTTTCTGGAGTAAACCGCCTCTGCGAGGCGCGATTATAGGGTAAACCCTACCAGAAAACGCTGGTAGAGGGAACGTTTTATTGTCGGCAAGCAAACCGCTTGGGGAAGGGGCGGTTTACATTGTCAGGACACAAACCGCTCCTCTGGGGCGCGGTTTGTGCCTGGTCACCCGACATCCGACATGTCGGCATGCAGGGGTAGGGCTGCATGGCAGACCCAAAACCGCCCCCCCCCCCCCAAGCGGTTTTGGTGCAAAATTTGCCTATAAAAGGCTGTTTCGGAGAACACAATTCTTCACACTTCCTTCCTCAATTCACACTTCCTTCCTCAAATTTCAGCTTTGCACCTTTAAATTATTTAGTTTTTGCGATTAACGTTAATTCGTAAGTTTGTTTCGTAATTACTTTTCATTGTCTTTGTGATTTTATGTTAGTAACTTAATTACTTTTGATTGTCCTTTGTGATGTTATGTTAGTAACTTAATTACTTTTCATTGTCATTTGTGATTTTATGTTAGTAATTTGAATTACTTTTCATTGTCCTTTGTTTATTAGATAATGTATATTTGTTGTACAATAATTTACATAATTGTTAATCGTATTGATTATTTTCAATAGTTTAAATCAATACAATACAACACTTATTGAGACTCTTTATAAAGAAATGCATGTCTAAGGAAACGGGGACTTAAGCGATCATCATGATCCCCCCATGACCTGGGAAAATCGGGTTCTAAGCGATCCTCAGATCCCCCCTTTTTCTGTCAAAAAGACTGTGTTTCTAAGGAGATGTATACCTCTCCTAAGAGTCTTACGAGTGTACTTGTATTGTTTTAAATTATTGAAAATAATCAATACGATTAACAAAATAATATATTTGTGCGATCTACTATCAAGCCGCGGATTGAATAGCTTTTTCCATTTAATTGACATTCAGCCAGTAAATCTCTTGTAGTGAGGCGGAGATTACGGAAGTGGCAGCTCAGGCGGCAAACCAGGCCGCAGCTCAGGCCAATCAGACCGCATATCAGACAAACCAGGCCGCAGCTCAAAACAATCAGGCCGCAGCTCAGGCCAATCAGACGGCAGTTCAAGCCAATGATGTCGAAGTGGCGGCGATTCAGTGAGTTAATATATGCTTGTGTGTTTCTAGTAATTAATCATTGTCAACGCTATATTTAACTAATTGATGTATGTCGATCACAATCTGAATCTAATTGTTTCGGCATTTTAACATCTTCTTAGGCTGAGATTTGGTAATTGATTGTTCTTTCTTTTGAGTATGCCTAGCTACCACAATCTGAATCTAGTTGTTTCCGTATTTTGACCTCTTCCTAAACTGAAATTTGGTAATTGATTGTTTTTTCTTTTAGCATTCTCCAGACTTACTGAAATAATAAGTCAATTTTTGGCAGGTGAAAATAATCACCATCATTTCCATTAAAAAAAAATCACCATCCATTCTTTGTCTACATAACGTAATGCTAATTTTGGAAGGAATATGAAAGAAATAATAGGTAAGTGGAAGAAGAAGTTAGTTTACTTCGATTAGGAGTAGGGTGGTATAGTGAATCCCCCCCCCCCCCTTCCCTATTATTTTCTTCCTAAAAAAACCGTGAAAAATGCATGTGGAAGTGAGCTTTCCTTCCCACTTTTTCCTTCTTCTTTTCTTTCCTTCTTGAACATAGTGTTAAAAAAAAGTGTAGAGACTTTGTTGAATGCATGATAAGGAAAAATAAAAGCAACTAATTATTCCTAACAAATTTGAAGCACTAACTCTATCATCCTCAACAAATTCGAAGCTCTCAAAAGAATCATATAAAATTATAGAGATGAAAGAAAAAAGAGAAACCTAGGGGTTTATGGAAGGGGAGAGGGTAGTAAGTTTGCGAGGAAAAAATGCACAACGTTTCGTTCTTCATTTTGTACAAGCAAAGTTTGCTATGTTTATACATAATAGATTTTTCACTATTGTCAGTGGCAAGAAGAATCGTACCACAATAATTGCACCGATCTTTTTCAACGTTTTGTTCTTCGAAACAAGTGAAGTGAGTCCAAACAGAATACCTCTTTTTTCTTATTTTTATTTTGGAAGATGGTGCAGGAGGGTCCCATGTTCGGCATTTCTTCAAGCAAAGGTCACTATGTGTATCCATAGAAGATATTCAACTATTGACAGTGACAAGAAGAACCATATCAAAGTTATTGCACCTACATTTTTGCACGTTTTGTTCTTCGAAACAAGTGAAGTGAGTCCAAACATAAGATCTCTTTTTTCTTCTTTTTATTTTGGAAGATGATGGAGGAGGTCTAGGCCAATGTTGTCCTCCAGGCGATGTGTTGTCCTCTCTTTGAAAAAAAAGTTATTTGAAAATATCACAATACTACACGCAACCACTCATTACTTATACCCTTCCTTACTTAAAGATGTAATATAGAGAGTTTATAAAACACGTTTTTTCTCCTCGGTTTCTGCGATTTTATAAAACACAACAGAAAACAAAAACAAGCAACAATACTAAACGGGCCCTAAGTGTATTTAAAACTTTCTTTACTTATTTAATGATTAGTTGATATTAAATAATTCACAAAATAGTTTGTGTAAGATACTTTCACAAACCTTGCGTGGTGTATTAACTATAGTGGAATACTTACCTAATATGTTTATTTAATTGATCCATGAGAAATAATTATCCATTCATAAGCTTTACGGAATGTATAGTAATTTACGCCATTATTATAGAATAGTGTGTGATCTAATAAAAAAGAAAATAATGAAAAAAGAAATTTTGATTAAACTATTATGTAAATGTTACTTACCTTATATAACTTTTGTGTAATGCAAATTGATAAGATGATAAATATTATAGTCAATAATAAATAAATTTTAGTTAATTGTTTTATAGTTAAGTTATGAAAAGTATCACATTTGATAAAATGGTATGTAAAGAATCAATGATCTTAAAAAACCTTTGTGCAATTCGTTCAAACTTATATTATGAAAGATACATTAAGACTTAGGTAATATGTGGGGTTGGTCTATCGATAATGTGGGGTTGAAACAACGACCAAACCTTAGGTTGGAATCTTGAGGCAAACGGCCAAAGAAAAAAATATATTTGCTTAATTGATACATAAGAATTCCCTATTCCTACATAAGTTTTACATAATATTTTAATTAAATATGAAAGACTTAAGTAATGTATTTTTTTAATTAATATAAGAAATAACTAACTCCATAAGTTTTATATAATATATTTGTAACTAATCTAGAACAATTACTCCTTTCTTTCTCTTCTTTCTTCTTTATTTACAGGGCCTTCTTGAATCGACTCTGAACTTCTGAAAACAACTCTTTTTTCCTTAGTATGTGGTCTAACAATAAAATCAAGCTATAGAAAATATTATATTTGATTAAACTATTATCGAAAAGTGAACATACCTTATGGAATATTTTCTCAATGTAAATTGATGATAGGGTGAATATTGTAGTTGATATCAAATAAATTAAGTTATACAAAGTATCACATTTGATTAAACTATTCTACAAAACCAATTGACCTTACGAAAATTTTGTGTAGTGAAAAAAATGAAATGGTCAAGAATTTAGTTAATGATAAAGGTATTTTTTTCAAAATGAGATTACATATGTATATTTTTCAAAAGTTAACTATTATGGTCACAAAGTGCATCCTTATAACTATCATGTTTATTTGCCAACAAACCATTCTAAACATGAAAATTAACTTGAATTGAATTCAGGTTGATGTTAAATTGGTGGGTAAAGACGTAAAGTAACTTATCTCCTTGGTTTCTTCTTTTAAAAGAGACAAAAACAGTTAAAGTTTGAGAATGTTCCCTCTGCCTTAGCTAGGGTTCTCGGCTCAAGCTTGGCTAGCCGCCAGGGGTCTCTACAGGAACTAAGTTAGACACAACCACATAATACAATCCCTTAATGAACAGTGATTTCTCTAATTAATTGGGGTTTGCGGAATTAACGTAAGGAACAGTAATTAAGCCTTTGGTAACTTGAGCTTTAATATATTTAATTAATAAATAATAATAATAATAATAATAATAATAATAGAAATCTAATGTTATCGTACTTGTTTGTAAATAAGACTTCATTAAGCTCGAATCCTAACTAGGCCACCGCCTCCGGCTCCACTACCGTCGACTCCTCATTCTTCCTTCGATTCCTTTTAAGTCGATCGTCCAATCCATCTACAATGTGTTGAATTTCAACCAGGACGATGATGAAGACAAGAAGGAAGCAATGGTGACCATAGAGCTTAGTGCTTAGAGCTTCATGCTCCCGCCTATACATGGTTGTTTTTTAAGATCTTCTTCCACCCCCATGTAAATATCTAAGGCTCCAGTCACCAAAAAACCCTCATTCTATATGATAATGTGTTCTATAAACAAGTACCAGTATTCGTTCCAAGACCTGCTTGATGATATATAGCTCCAATGTCTGATTGCAGTACCTTCAACTTCAAGCGAATAGAATCTGTAGCTCGTACCTTAAGACTCTGGTTAAGGCAAATTTCACAAGTTGATAATCATAAGTGCATAAATGAAGATACATTAATCAATATATCAAAGCATTCAAGGATACTCTCCAAATTGTACTTATTAGGCAGCGTCGCTTGATCATGGATTAGATGCCTTGGCAGTCCTTTAGTAAATGCGCATGGAAACCTCACCTGTTGTTTACTAACCCATGCATGGAAACCTCACCTTCGTTCTGAAGTAGATGAAAATCTGCAAGGGAGTGATTATTATTCAATGGTTAGCCAATCCAATTTCTGGTACAATCTTGTATGCAGCAGATCTCAATAGCATAGCTGTGGTTCATTCTTCATGCACACGAACGCATTTTGAGTAGAAAAAGTTGCCTGAGTAGCAAGAGGTAGCACTCAAAATCGAGCGTCGGTTTGGGTCTGGGAGTCGAGGGTTTACCTAACCAGCCATCTCAATCCAACTCCTTCCGGCTTCTTTTACACCAGAAGCTTTTGCAGTTTCCCTCACTCTGTTGAGGTCGTCCCACATTTCCATCGTTGCATAAGCATTTGAGACCATTACATACACAGACGGATCATCAGGAAAGGCAACACGGAGGTTTTCAGCTATACCACTAATCATCTCACTGTTCTTATGAGTAACGCAAGCTGCGAGCAAGGAGCTCCATATCGTTTTGTTAGGCCTAAGTGGCATCTCACTAATCAACTTCCTTGCCTCCTTTAACAGCCCAGCTTGACCAAGTAATTCCACCATGCAGTAATAATGTTCTACTTGAGGTTCAAGTCCATGATCAGATCTCATGGACTGAAATAACCTCCACCCATCTTCAACCAGACCTGCATGTCTACATGCGCCAAGAAGCCCTAAGAAGGTGACTTCATTTGGCTCTATTCCCGACTTTATCATCTCTTGGAATATCTCAAGAGCTTCATTGGCTTTGCCATTCTGACCACACCCGACAATGATCCCCGTCCAACACACAACATCCCTATCAGATAGACCATTGAAGAGAGCTATACTCTCTTCAATTTCACCACATTTTGAGTACATATCAACAAGAGCCGTGGCTGCTACTGCTTCGGTTTCATGTCCTGCCTTGATACAGAAAGCATGAATTTGTTTTCCCTTTCCAAGAGATGATACACTTGAACAAACTTTTAGCATGGCAGAAACTACATATTGATCTACTTCAAGGCCTAAACTGACCATATCTCTGAACAGGGAAAAAGTTTCTGAGCTCACCCCTGCTTTGGTGCATCCTATGATTAATCCAGACCAAGCTATGGAGTCTTTCTCGGGAAGCTTGTCAAATACTGCAAAGGAGTCCTTCATTTTCCCGAGTTTTGCATATAGATCAGTAAGAATGCTGCCCACGACACAATCTAACTCGTACCCACTGGTGACAAGAAGACCGTGAACTTGAACTCCAAGCCTGAAGTGAAACAAGTTGATGCAGACCCTCAATGCACAACTCCAAGTATAGGAATCAAAAAGAACACCAGAATGATGGATGCTAGAAAGCAAATTCAGGGCTTGGATATGTTTATCATTCTCCACATACCCAGAAATCATGGCATTCCAGAACGACAGACTCAAACAATTTGACCCGTTTCTGGTGCAGTAACTTTCAAACAATCTAACTGCTTCATCTAAAGCATTGGAATTAGAGTACATATCCACCAGCGCAGAGAGAGTATAGCAGCAAACCTCAAAACCAGACTTTAAAGCATAACAGTGGATTTGCTTTCCCATGGCAAAAAAACCAACATAACCACCACATGTTTTTAGAGCACAAGGGAAGGTGAACTCGTCCAGCTTAAGGCCTTCCTTATGCATCTTACCCACGAACTCTAGTGTACTTATACTCCCATTATCAGCCAAACCAGCAATGACAGTGTTCCACGAAGCAACGTTTGGATCAGGCATCTGCTGAAACAAATCCACCGCTTCCTTCATCAAGCCCTGCCCACAGTACCCTGAAATGAGCGTATTCCAAGAAGTGGTATTGGCAACAGAAACCATCCCATCAAAAACTCTCCTTGCATCACTCAATCTACCACATTTGACGTACATGTGCAAAAGGGTATTCATCAGAACGACGTCCTCTTCCAGATTCTCTTGACGAATCCTCTCGTGTATCTGCCTACCCAGTTGAACATCACCCGCCAGCCCACACGCCTTCAGCACAGCGGAGTACATGAACCCAGTAGGCATCACGGATTGAGCGTCCGACATCTTGTTGAACAGTTCGATGGCATCATGAGGCTTCCCACTCCTAGTGCAAGCATAGACCACTGATGTCCAAGTAACAATGTTTCTCACGGGCATTTCATCGAACAGCTTCCTGGCATCGTTCAGCTGGGTGAAATCAGAGTACAACGTGATCAGGTTATTCATCATGTAAACATCCCCTGGAGAAAACCCAGTTTTGATCAGATGGGAGTGAAATGACTTCCCGCGCTGGAGAGCGTGAAGCCTCCGACAGCAGCGCAAAGCTTCCACGATGTACTTCAAATCCATTACCGTTTACCGCTACTTTCAACTGTCTTTCAATTTCCACTCCAGAAGCAGAACTTCTGCTATAGTGGTTTCCCAGAGCAAAACTGGGCAAGCTGACTGATCCAATCCAGTCCACTGGGCCAGACCAAGTTGAGCCGAGTCATGGGCTTATTGGGCCAATGTTACAAACCTTTACTCTTGTACTGTGATCATTTCTCAATTCTCACACTCCATGTACACAAACAAACAAAGCTTTGCTCATGTGCTTATACAACATTTCTCATACGTTTTCTTCTGCCATGAACAAGCAGTGAATTCACAAGAGCTCGAAAAGATTGAATAAAGTACATCTACATTGTTTCTGGTTTACTTACAAGTTACAGTCACTATAATGTTAAGAAGAGAAATGTTAGGATCTTAAAACAAATAATTGAAGGGGCAACTGAAGTTGCCTAAACTAGAATTGAATCAGCAAAGTTAGAACTGATAGCAAAAATAAGTAACAGCATGTCAGTAATCTCGAAATAGGGCCTTAGACACTGAACCACAAACATTACCGCCACCTTGCTTCTTCGTCTTTTCATTGCTGCTGCTGCTGTCTCCTCCCTTGAATGATCTATCTTTCCCAGTCATGGGAGTCTCCATAACCACGTCAAAGCTCCGTCTTCTACGTGCATCTCTCTTCGAGTGCCTTCGGTCATACTTGGGTTTCATGGATTTAGGCTGCTGCTTGGGAGCCCAAACTTTGTGAAGGTCTGGTACCCAGCTGGTGAAAGAAGAAAATCTCTTTGCCCTCTGTCTTCTCTCCTGAGCCTCCATCAGTTTTCTGGCATGATCATCATCCTGTTTCATCTCATGCCGTTCTGCAGGGATTGGATCGTCCATTCTTCTCATTCTGTTGTTCCTCTCATCTTCTGTCTCCAGACTTTCTTTCACGGAGTGGTTGCTATCCTCGCTGTTGAGCAAAGGGTTGGAGGGCTCCTCCTCATCTTCGAACAGCAAAAGATCTAATTTTTCATAGATCCTGTGGACAACGTCACCCAGACTGTCACAATACCTGAAAATTTTGAAAAAATACATAATTTGACACTGATTAATGGTTTCCCTCTCAAACAACAATAAAGATGCGGAGATTAACTAAGAGTTCGTTTTGCTGATGTATCTAGGTAATGAGTAGTTGCCCATAATCTATCAGCAGGTGGATCTGACCGAAATATCCTCTCTAGATGGTCTGTGTTGGTGGCATTGAGAGATTTTGGAACATCTGGCATGAGAGGATTTGAAAATATCAACTTGGGTAACTACCCAAGATGAATTTTTCCAGAGAATAGTATGACTTGAAAACCTCGATTGGATATTTCAAGAGACCATAAAGCTAATTGCTTCATATTGGTTTGTCATACTCATATATAGCACATTTGTACACCTAAAACGGGGTAGAAATGCAAGCGTTGAAAGTTACTCCAACTCACAAAGGAACTTATACACGTTCATAAGATAAACATACCTGCTCTTTAAGATCTTCCCTATGTATTTATCAAGACTCCAATCACCAAAAAACCCTCCTTCAAGACGGCATTGAATGCCCTCTAAACAGGAGCAAATTTGCTTCACAAACTTTTGTTTCATGGACTCCTTGATACTAGCTCCGATGTCCGATTGCAGTATCTCCATGCGAAATAAAATCTGTAGCTCGTATCTTAAGACTGATTAAGGAAAATTGCAGAAGTTCTACCACGATTACCAAAATGAAGCATGTAATAACATAGATGCGTAAAAACAATATGTATGACAGTATAAAAGGATACTCTCTAACTAGTTTTTCTGAGTCAACCTCAGTTGAACTCGGATTTGATGCCTTGGCAACCAAGTCTTTAGGCTCCTTGAGTAAAAGTGTCACTAACTGCCTTGCAACTGCACTACTTGAAGCATCCTCAGATGATCTTGGTTCTTTAGTTTGAACCTCCTCGTTGGTTCCATTTTCAGATTTTTTATACAACCAAAATACAGACGAGTTAACTAGTCGCATGGCCAAAGACCACAGGTCTACATCATCAGATTCAAGCCCCTGTTGAATTTTGTGGGGGATGTCATCTAGGAAACTTTCTGAAGTTAGTGAGTGAAAGTCATTACCAACCTCATCTTGCACTCGAGAAGCCCCAGTCAAAGAATCCTCTCCCACTGAAGCAGAGGATGCAATCGGTCGTTGTGCACCATCCTGTGGCAACTCACTCAGTCTGTCTTCTAATTTTGGGGCATCATCAGAGTGTAGCTTATCATTATCGTTCAAGGTGACACTTGTAGACTTCTTAACTTCTTTCATCCAGCATTTGAGAAATTTCAATTTCTTTGACTTGTTGCTTGCCTTGACAAAGTAAACATCTTCCAGATCTATCTGTAAGTGTTCCAGTGCCGCCTTACAGAAGTCGGACCAAGTAAGCTCCTGAAGCTTAGTTAGACTTCTTTTCGACTTCTTTCTCTTCCTGTCATCACAACCTCCAATTTCCAACGGTTTCCCACATGGTATAGGTCCAGAACTAGAGCCAATATGTGATCTTCCAGAATCCACCATGGAGTTCGTGGTCCCTTTGTTCATATTTGTAACAACTTGAACCGAAGGTCCACAATTAAGTCCATGACCCTTGAATTTGTCCGATTTGATCCACAGGAGAGCTGAAGAAACTGTGAAAGGCTTGAGAATTCCTGTAAGTGAGCAGCCATTGCCATTTGAAAGAGACACTGAACCCCAATAGCTCTCCCTACAGAGGAAACTCAAGAGAATTTGCCAAATGGGTCCAGACTTCTTTGGCAGTGATTCAACCATTTCTGGTTCCAGCATTTGAAGAACCTTATCTTCAAACAACTCACTCTGACTTCCATATTGTTCTTTATCTAGATCCCCAGAAACCTCACGTACTACAATTGGAGCAGGCAGATATCCTGCAAATGTGACATCTTTATCATCCATCTTGATTGCTCTAACATGGAGTTTTGAGTTCCCACCACTAAACACTTCCCAAATTGACTTTTCCTGTCCACAGCTGGCTAACTTAGGGAAACTGCTTGAACCAGCCAGCTCAAGGTCACAGCACTTGCACTCCAAAGGCTTCCCATTCACGTCTAGTATCTCAAGACTCAAGCCTGCAAGAATCATCTTCGAGCAACAGAAATCAAGCGCCTTTGGCGAGATCCCAATCCGTGGATAAATCAACCCAAATGGAACCACTGCAGAACCCAGCACAACATTATCACTGGAACAGAAACCCCATCCTAAATCCCTAATCCCACTCTCAAAAACTCCAGACCTAACCAGAGATTCATCACAACCACCACTAACTTCCCAACTACCTAGCGGACAATTCACATCAACCCAGCTGAAATGAATATCTCTACTCACAAACGCATCATTCACACCCCCAAACAATCCACGATACCTGCAAGCGAACTCCTCCACATTTCTCAAGCACTCGTCACCCGCATCCACACCCAAAAACTCCGACAGTCCATTCAGAGACTTTACAATCGGGGAAAACAGAACAACCAAATTCGACCTAACAGGAGAGAACCCACAATCCAATGGCGTACCGTCAATGGAGCTCGAGACAACAGAATCCCAGGCGTAGTCATGAATCAGCTGGCGCATCGAGGCGGCAAGACTCGAAGCCCTCGGGGAATTGCATCCGCTCCAGTCAATTTTGGAAACAACGGACGAAGTGAGGGTTTGTGAGAGCGAATCGTAGGTGGAAGCAGGGCGGTCGAATTTGAGAGAAGACGGAGACGGGATCGGGAGCTTGGAGGAGGAGAGGAGGGGAGACAGGGAAGAGAAGAAGAGCTTGAAGGAGAAGAGAGAGGAAGCTAGAGGAGGGAAAGTGACGAGGATTCTGATGGCGGAGAGGAGAGAGTCGAGGTAAGGGCTCGGGTCGGGGAAATGGAGAAGTGGGTTTAGGTCGACGAGAAGGACCACGCGCTGGGTTTTGCTGTAATCTGTAACTGAGTCGATGGTTTCCGCCATTGACAGTCGAGATGGAATTTTCTGGAAGCAATCGCCGGCATAGAGTACTGTGAAGTGAGAAATCGGGCGATGGGGGGAATTTTCCGTCGGAGGAGGAACTGCAAAGGGGCGGAGCGGCGGAGAGGGAAGAAATGTGTTGGGACTTGGGAGTGAATGTGACGGGACCGGTTATTGTAACAACACCTATTGTGTTGTTATTGTAACAACACTAGTCCCCAACCAATAGGAAGCTAGGATTGTGATGACTTTTTATTAAATGAGTTGACCTAGTGTAAAATCAAAGCAGGGGTATAATTGTCATTATGAAAAATTTATTTAAATAAAAAAATATTTTTTTATTTTCTGCCCAAAAATTTGGTCGTCGGAATTCTGCCACCGGTCGCCGGAAAATGGTCGCCGGTCACCGGAATATGCTTTTTGTCGTCGGAATATGCTATTTTGTGGCCGGAATATGCTTACCGGAGTCGGAATATGCTTACCGGCGTCGGAATATGCTTACCGGCGTCGGAATCTAGTCACCGGGGCCGGAATATGCCTATCGGCGTCGGAATCTACTCACTGACGGTCACCGGAGTTCGGTCAACGGTCTTCGTTGACCGGTCAACGGTCAACGGTCAACGGTCAACGACCACCGGATGTTATGGTCTGCATTGTGAGATTTATGGTTTGGTTTCTCATATTTTTTTATGCCTTTTATGGTTTGTTTTATTGTGTTTGTGGTTTGCATTGAGAAGTTTCTGGTTTGTTTTCAAAAACTTTGTGGTTTGCATTGTGAGGTTTCTGGTTTGTTTTAGGAGATTTGTGGTTTGCATTAGGACGTTTATGGTTTGCTTTATTGTGGTTTGATTTACTATGTTTGTGGTTTGCATTAGGAGGTTTTTGGTGTGCTTTCGCAAATGTTGTGGTTTGCTTTGTGAGGTTTGTGGTTTGTTTTAGGAGATTTGTGGTATGCATTAGGAGGTTTCTGGTTTGCATTAAGAAGTTTCTGGTGTGCTTTCGAAACTTTTGTGGTTTGGTTTGCGAGGTTTCTGGTTTGTTTTAATATATTTGTGGTGTACATTAGGACGTTTTTGGTTTGTTTTATCGTGTTTGTGGTTTGTATTAGGGGGTTTCTGGTGTGCTTTAGAAATATTTCTGGTTTGTTTTACCGTGTTTCTGGTATGTTTTAGACAATTTATAGTTAGCATTAAGAGGTTTCTAGTATGCTTTCGAGATAATTGTGATATGCTTTGTGAGGTTTGTTATTCTATCCGACGTTCCTACTAGATGAATGGAATTAGTAACAATAATTATGATGTGTATACTTACCAGGTTTGTATACATAACTTGGTTGTGCATATCTGAAGAGGAAAGGCGGAATTTGAGAAGGGATTTTTTTGGCTGGAAGTGAATTTGACAGGGGGCAATTTTAGGATTAAAATGGCCCAAGTCTCTTGTCCTTTTGTGGGGAGGATCTCTGGGCCAAATAATTGGAGATGGACAGCAGCTTGTGTAGGAGGGAATTAATTGGCAGTGGGGAGAGCAAGCAGCGGACACGGAGTCGGACTCTCGAGCAGAATTGCAGCACATAGTTCTCTCTTAATTAATTATGTTTTTACACCTAATCAATTCCTGTCTATCTAATTCATTTTAAAATAACTAGTTCGCAAGGGAGAATGGAATCAGCTGCAGGGAAATCGATGATGAAGGGAGAGGTGTCATTTCAAGTGAACTTTTGCAGATACAACGTAGTGAACATCGACGACGAACAAAAAAGCGGGAGAGAAACGCATTGCTTCTCGAGCCTAACCCTAGGGTTAAAAGGGCGTGGCCAAACTGAACTCAGCATCAACTCGTCGGAATCTAATTACACCATGAGAGACTTCCAACAGTTCCTGAAAACCGCCTACAACCTCAAGAAAACAACCGCAATCAACCTCCAAGGAGCCGCCCAAAAGCCATCAGCTCGACCACGGCTTCTGATCATTTCCCGGATGTACACTCGGACCTTCACAAACGTGGACGAGATTGCAAAGACGTGCAGAGACGAGCTCAGGTACGAGGTTGCTGTCGCGGAGCCGTGCGAGGACACGTCGAGGTACGCGCGGGTGGTGAACTCGTGTGACGTCATGGTGGGGGTCCACGGGGCCGGGCTGACGAACATGGTGTTCTTGCCGGACAAGGCGGTGGTACTTGGTGCTGGCAGAGAACGCGACGGACGTCTGAATCACCGGCGGTGGGACGTTCGGATTGGGCGGCGCGGCGCGGCATGAGGGGAGTATGGGAGGAGGACCGATATAAGCGAGGAGATCAGCTTAATATTTATTTATTTATTTATTATATATTGTGTTAATGGACCCTTATACCCTTGTTGTTACTATAACAACACTTAGGGTGTTGTTATGCTATCCAGACCCGAATGTGAGTGAGGTGATGTCGTGATGAGGGGAAGTACGATGTCGTTTCATGAAATTTTTGGATAGAGCAATTGGTAAAAGCGCGGGTTGGATTTGGCGGGATTTCTTTTCAACTTGTTTGATGTAGATCGGGAGGGGGACCGGCACGTGATGATCGCTTTTTATTTGTGAACCTTTTCGCAATTCGCACAACATACCGAACGTATAGTAAAAGAGTGGGTAAATTGCAAGGTTGGTCAGTCACTAGTGCTTAGGGCTGGAGGTTCGGTTATCGGTCGTCGGTTAACCGGCCGATTAAATCGATAATCGGTGGTTATTAGTTAACCAATTGACCGAAATTAAAGGGCTTGGACGGTGGTTGGTAGTGGGGTTGGAGGTGTCGGTTAACCGACTAACGGACAGTAATAATCGCCGGTTAAATCGACTAACCGACGCATCAATCACCTAGTAAAAATGACGCCGCTCCACGTTCCACCCACCCTAAGCCTCTAACCCTAATCCGCCCATTCCTAAATCGATCTGCCATTCTTCTGCATCGCGAGGCCGAGACGGCGAGACCTCCCTCACTCCCTGACTCTCCCTGCCGCCTCCCTCACTCTCCCCTGTCGTCGCCGCCTGCCCGCCGCCGCCGCCATCTCCATCCCCGACACCAGCCGCTCTCCGCCATCTCCCTCCACGACGTCGTCGCTCTCCGCCATTTGCCTCCCCGACCCGCGCGGCCGCGCCATCTGCCCTGATTCGTTTCCTCCACTCCGAGCCTTTTAAGGACCTGGTGAAGACCAGACTCCTCGGCGGGTTCGCCGCGCAACCCATCATCGGCACCGGCCGTCGGAAGTGCTCCATCGCCCGTGTCGTCCTCCACGAAGGCACTGCCCAAGTCATAATCAACTACCTCGACACCAATGTAAGCCTTTAGCAACCATCGCCCTTTCCCTTCACCCGAATTCGGAATTCCCCAATGTGTAGATTTCCAGTCCCAATGTGGATAGGGTCTGGAACTTGCTCGCATGGAAGAAAGAAATAAAGAAAGAAAGTTGTTTGCTTGCTGCTTCTTTGAAGTGGAGCGGTTTGCATGATGCGTTGCGGTTATCACGATTAATTGAGCAACTAACCAGTAACCGACCGGTCAGTTACCGGCTAACCGTTGGTTTTCGTCGGGCGGTTGGCGCTAAACAATGCTTGCGTCACGGTTAACCGGTAACCGACATTTCGGTTATCGATTATAACCGATCTAACCGAAAATTCAGCCTACTAGTGCTAAAATATTCACGTTTGGTCATTAAAAGAATTTTATTTCATTTGTTGTCATTAGGAGCGTTTAACGATTCACGATTGGTTACTCTCCGTTAGTCTCCAGTACCGTTTGAAGACTCGAACCGGCCCGTAAATCATGGAGCAAAGAATTTGAAGGGTTGATGAAGAAAGCTAAATATGACCTCACAAAATGCACAGTTATCTGTCTGCATCCGGAGAAGACGGAAATTGCATTCTTCAACTATTGTCACGATGTAGCTACGCCTACACCTACGTCCACTTTCTTGTCCTGCGATTTGAGGAGGGGAGAACTAGAGCTCCTTGCTGAACTAAAATTATCTCATCCTTGTTTAGTTCAGGGCAACTGGGCAACACACTGGTAATTACTTGTGTTTGTCACAAGCTTCTCTTCTTCAAGATTGCTGCTATAATTTGTAATTGATTCGAACTGTTTGTGCCTGGATTGTTCCAAGCGGTTTGTGAGACTCCACTGGCCTTGGGCGTCTTCGATGGTCAAGGGCGGTCTCCGAAACCCTGCAGAAAGGTCCTCAGGGGGTTCCTGGGACCTCCTCCGATGCTAAAGTTAGAGAGAGAAGTGGAAATGAGAGTAAATAAGAGAGAGAATCGAGTTGGTAGAAGTTACCCTCATTGTGGTTCTCAATTGAGTATTTATACTAGTGCTAAGCGGATCATGGGCATTTAATGACTTATCGGGCGTCCTGGGACGCCCTCTACAGTCCTGGTCACTCCGTACCTTTTTCAGGCTCCGTACTGATCATGTCAGAGCCAGGTTTCCGTTTGCCATTATGTCGGGCGGTCTTGGGACGCCCTTGACAGTACTGACTTATTTGTACCTTTGTCAGACTCCGTACCGATAAGGTCGGGACCAAGCATCCATATGTTCGAATGTCGGGCGGTCATTCATCCATGTTGGGCGGTTCTCGCTGTATTTGTAGGAAAAGACCGCCTTTGGCGGGTTTTGGTGACTCGTTGCCCCTACTCAGGCCCGACTCGTTTCTTTACGGACTCTGAGTTACTATGGGCTTGGAGCCCAAGTGTCTCACTATTTGGCCCAGCAATGGGTCTTAGGCTACTATGGGCCTGAAGCCCAAGCGCCTCAACATTTGGCCCAACATTTGCCCCTTAGGCGTGGGAAGTGATAGGTTTTCGCGGCTAAACAATATTTTCCATCAATGTTGGGTGGTTCTGGGTGTCCTGGCCCATAGTACACTCGAGGCGGTTATCGGCCGCAGTTAGTGTGATTCTCCTGCTGCCCCTAGTCGTGGAGACATATCGCGAGGACGCCTTGGGGGAAGGACCGCGTCCGGTCTCGGTATTCAACTTTCACTCGCCACGTGTCACGCATCGGGCGGGGAGCTCTGACACCGGCAGACGGAACGTCACCTCTGGGGGTGTTCCGTTCTCGGGCTTCGCGAAAAAGGTCTCTTCGGGACGTCATTCTTTCCCTTTTCGCCTTTAAGTAGGATTTCGAGAGGGATTTCTGCCACTCTCCTCCGGTTTAGGAAAGCGCTTCGTCTTCTTCCCCTCTTCTTTCTCTGTGGAAAGCTTGAAGGTCTCCGATGTCGTCGCCTATAAATTCAGTCCTTCAGGTGGGTTTTGGCTTTACTTTTTTCTTTCGTTTTGGGCCTCGGACGCGTGGTTTCTTTGTTGACTTGCGTGTTGTTTTTGTGGGCGACTCCGGCGCTTCGGGCATTGGGGAATTGCCGATCTTGTTCGTTCTCGCCGTCGACAGATGTCGGGTGAGGGTCCCTCATTGTTGCTCAGCGGGGAGAAGGACCAGGCCCCCGAGGAGGGGAGCGTCCCGGTCTCCGACCCTGGGCCGACGGCGGTGTCAACGAAGGAGCCCGCATCCTCGGCCGCTACGGTGCCGCCTCGTGCTACCGGGAAAAAACCTACGGAGACCGCTTCTGGGATTCAAGGTACGAATTACTCTTCTCCCGTTCGAAGCACGTCTGAATGCGTGTGGGATTTATCCGGGTTAGAGCTATATGTTGGAGAGGGGTACGAATTGAGAGATTGCCTTGTTGGAACTTGTGTAGAATTAGATAACTCTTATGCTAACCTCCACCCTGTACTAGTTGGGGTTGTGGCCACCTCGTCGGCGGTTGGGGATAATCTTGGGGAATTTGAGCGGGTAGACTTAGATAGCATATCGTTGGATGACTCGGAGGAGGTTGACAGTGACGGAGTGCGGTCTGGGGCGCCTCCGAGTTCTTCATCCTCGCTGGAGGTTTCAGAGGGTGGGGAACCAAGACCGCTTCCCATTGCTATTAAAGATCCTGTGTTCACTGTTCTGCGCCATTCTGGTATGTGGGATGGGGAGGCCGTTCCAGAGGAGGTCTTTGAGCAGGGTCCAAAGCATGTGGCGGCCTTTAAGCCTGAGCAGGTGTTGTAACGGCTTAAATCGCTGCGGATGCCCCCAGACTAGCTTTATGCGGTCCCTTCCGGGAGGAGTCGCATTGGATCATGTCCTTCTGGCTGGATCCCCATATTGGTCGAGCACGTTAAGCTCGGTTTACGGTTTCCTCTTGACGATCCTCTGACAAGGATTGTTCTCCGGCTCCAATTCACTCTAGGGCGTCTTTCACCAACGATTGTCTTCTATTCGGTTATGTATCGTTTGGCGTGTGACCGCCTTAAAGAGGAGCCGTCTTTTGATGCCTTTCGGATGATCTACAATATTCGTGACTCGACCAATTGTTGGTCGATTGAGAGGCGGGAAAATTCGGTTGGGATTGTGAGAGGGGCGCCAAAGCTGGATTCCCCATGGTATAAGGAGTATTTCTTTGCCCGCCCTTCGTGGAAGTGGTACGCGGGTGAAGTGGAGCCGCCTACCGGGTATGCGGTTGGTTCCAAGGACGACTGGTGTGATTCTACCCAGTTCCCACAGTCCGTGCGGGATCACGTGGCGCGAATAGTGGAGGGCGTTCAACTGCGTGTGCAGCATAGTGGCTCTAACAGTGCTTATCAGCTTGTTCGCGGTTTTTATGGTCAGTAGTGTTTACTTGAAATGTCGTTCTTTATCATTCTCATGTGTTTTTACTTATGCTTTCTTTCTCCAGGGTTGAGGGAGTTGGCGGATGCCAACAGGCCGAAGAAGAGGAAGGTAGGTAGGACCGCACGAGCGGGTGAGGCTCCTTCGTCAGCGGCTGTTACCATGATCAATCTTTCGGTGGTTCCCAAAGCACAGTCTCCCGCGAAATCATTGGGCGTGGTTGGTGTGTCTTCTGCCCCCATTGCTCGTGGAGCAGGGAAGAGGGTCGTAGAGCGCGGAGCTCCCGAGGTGGCCAGTAAGCGTGCGAAGGTTGGTTCTCCGCGAGTTAAGGCTGGGGAAAAGCATGGGCCTGCCTCGAAGCGGTCGGCTAAATCTGGTTCTGTGACCGTCCCTCCTTCGGCCGCCCTCGACACGGAGGCGGCTGAGTTGGCGTTTCACACTATCAGCGAGCAGCTGGAAATGCCCAACGAGTACACTGCTACATCGTCAGAGAGCAACCGCCGCCTGGCGGGAACTGCCTCGCAGTTTTTCTTTGGGGTAAGTGGCTGCCATACCTTGGAGCGGTTTGCGAGTGATATAATGCGTG